TTTGGCTTAAACTTATGTTATTCCTGGAAATAAAATAACGAGTATATAGTTAACATACTGTGTGTTCTTTTTGTTTTTTTGTTTTTTTTGAGAACCCGAACATATTATGCCGTCATCTCAGGAAAATTGTGCAGAATTGTAACTTTCCCCTAAGCGCAAGGACGAGGTGGGATAAGTGACATTCTTAGCCTCCCAGGACTGTCAACCTTTAAATTTAGAAAATCATTGAAACAGAAGACGCGTTTAAATGAGTGTGTTCTCTTTCTATCTGCTGCAAGTTTTGTACAAATGGCATGAAGAAATACAGAAGGTGTACAGGGTGAAAGTACTAACTGTTCGAATAAAAAAAAAATAATAAAGAAAAAAATATTAAAAATAAAAATATAAAAAATGTTCGAATACTTCATACTTTTGAAGCTACAGAGACAAAACCAATATCGTTTTCTACTATACAACTATGAACCTAATAGAAGTATACACACTTTAAAACAATAATATTTTTCTGTGAAAGATGATTTCTTTCTGTCCAAATGGTAGCATAGTTTATAGATGATGTTTCGGTATACATCTCTATACCGTTGTCAAGGTTAATTCGGTATAATATGTTTGACAATGGTATAGGAATCAATGCCGTAACATCGCATCATAATATATTTAATAAAGAAGTTGTCATCTATAAAGTATCCTGCCTTTCTTATTACTCATCAGCTTCTAAATGCCAGTTAAACAGATTCTTCATATCAATAATCTCAAGCATAGATATTTCTTTCAATTGTTTTCTGGGACAAAAAAAAATTCATAAAATCCAAGCTGCAGTTTTCTTTTGTTTTGCAGATCAAAATAAAAAAAACCCTGCTCGTCCCAATACATAATCATTCGAATATAAATCATCTGTCAGTCTCCTGCAGCGGCTACTGCCACAAGACCATAAATTTGTTGGGGAACAAAATCTACAACCAAGAAACTTAAAAACTAAATCAGGGTGAATTAAAGATTAGACCCCAGGATTATAGCTGTCTGACGTACATGAGTTGGACACTCATCCGTTCACCGACATGACAAGAAATAGATAGCTGTTGCATTTACAACGTGGAAATTCGTAGAGCGTGTGGAGTTAGGGAAGTTTACATTACTGCGAAAATGTATGACTAGCTTTATATGTAATGTAAACAATGGAAACACAATGATCAGGCGTACATTAGATGTAGTTATTATACAAAGATCAACAGAACTGCTTGCCACACTGGGGTCCAAATGATCAAACTTCAAATCAACATCAAACGTACACAAAAACTATTAGTCTGTCGTACAGACCCTGAAGTAAATATATCCATGAAAGGCCACGCAAGTCTAGAAAATGTGGCAAGTCTAGATTTACTCAGCTTCAGGTCTGAAAATGAAGAAAATCTCAGGGCTCCTTATCATTATTATTATTTTTTTTAATATGAACTTTTTTCAGTAAATATGTTCATTTCAGAGAACAGTTGTTAGTCTAAAAAACTATCTGTGTCAGGAGTTAAAGGGGTCAATACAATTTTCAGCTGGCATTCCAATGATTAATCAGTCCTCGCATGTACTACTCCGTAATGACAGCAAGGTTCATGTACGAAAGAATCAAGCTTTTATTTATAACATAAAATATATCATGGTAACATTTAAGTGAAGTTCCGTTATTAGATTATTTATCTTCACACATTAGGCTATGTTTTTTTCAGATATATGTGCAATGATATCAAGAATCTATTACGGGTTCACGGTACGGCAAAATTAGGAACTGTTTTAACTTTGTATGTCCAGCGTGGATTCATCGTCACAATTTCAGTCTTCCTATGTTAGAGAAAGGAAGTGATATTTTGTTCAGTGAGGTTTGTTTCTGTGTGCTTGTTGTTTAACGCCGTATACATGAATATTCCAGCCATACCACGACATTCTGTAAATAATCGTGTGTGGACCAGGCAAACCCGTGATCGACATCATGAGCATCGATATACGCAGTTGGGGATGCAATGACATGTGTCAACTAAGTCAGCGGGATAGACCGTTAGTCGCCTCTCACAACAAGCATGAGTACCAAAGATATGTGGGAATCCACAGTCCTCAACATTATGTTTCTGAACACCTACAACGTCTGGTAAACGAGGCTTTTGGACAAAATACATGTTTTCAGCAGAACAAATTGTGTCTTTTAACAAAACCCGAGAAGCGGCTATCATACAAAAGCATGCTATTTAGGTTCTTGCTTTTTCCACGGCTTTTTGTCTGTGTTTAAGTCAAAAGATGAAATGAGTCTGTGCATGACGGACATCGAATAAGCTGGGTGAATTACTGGGGTTAACAATACTCTGAAGAGCTTAACCATGGCCAATCTGAGATTCGAACCCGCGAATTCCATCGCCTCATACGACTGGGCCATCTGTGTCCAAACTAGCAAGATGAACACATCAGTGAGAATTATTTATAAACATATACAATATCCGTGTCCCATCGTATATAAAATACAACCTAATTTCCATGGACTCACCAGCGATTGTTAGCTGAAGTAAGTTGAGCAGAATCAGTGGAGAGGCGTGAGGTAGCATCTTAGTGCAGACTCCCCTGAAATTGAAACTCATAATTAAGCGACTACCAAAACGATAATATAGTCAGGAACTGAAGACTGATATGATTTTATGTTTTTATATCATGTTTATGTTATCAATAACTTTATAACATATACGATGTCAAAAATACAGTTTTCACCAGAAGGTCTTCAGTTCACAAAATATGAAGATAAAGATTTAACTTTTAGGGCATAAATGCAGTTTATGTTTCGTTTTTATACCGTGTTAACCATTCCCGTCGAGAACCTGTTCCACAAGCTAACGGGGACCAAACTCACTAACTACAGGTAGTGATAGACAGGTATTAACGTTAGTCACATCTACCAAGTCATAGCAAAAAACCATTAAACCCCAATTCAGCATTTAAGAATAGTTTTGTTTCAAGTACTGAATATTCCTTACTTACCTCGGAGCGAAACATAGACAGACAATTCGAAAGACCACGAAGTATATTTTTACGTGACGCTAGGTACGGGGTTGGAGTTAAATGAACACGATCAGATCGTGGTGTAATTCCAATATAATCTCCATGATCCCTTCTGTGACCGTCGAGGCGTTTTTGATGATACGATAACTTAGAAACGTTGTCGCATGTTGTTGTAACTGTATGAGGTGAGTGTTTTAGTCTGTCCGGGGACAAAGGGCTGGGTATAAGACAATGAGAGGGTAGGCTGAACACAAGGGGTCATTAATCAAAGCACACAGAAATATCTAGTCATACCTAACAGCATACCAGCTAACATACCTCGTCAAGGTGATTGCTGTAGAACCATTGGACACTGAACGATTTAGGTTTAAAACCTCTGTTATATATTTACCTGGTTTAGACGAGATGTGTGACATATTAAGGACAGTTGCTAATGTTTGTCTCGAATCTGTGTAAGTGATAATATGACGTTGATGATATACTTCAGCTTTAATCTGTTAAAACGAAATCGACAATCGAAACTTTGTGTTCAGACTCTTTCAGTGTTGCCACAACCCCAAGTTACATAGAGAATACTACACGAGGTCTCATTACATACGTCGGTTCTTTTAAGTGCACAGGATTGTGTACTGTAAATTCAGTGTATGAAATAAGGCCCGTCCGACCGCCCGAGACGGTCTAGATTTCTGACGGACGGTCTAAATGTACAGCTAGCCAGCCCGATGGTCTGGTAAAAAATTTAAATGTTCCATATATCTGAGTAAATTCACCATATTTGGACTGGTTAAATCCATTTTTGGCTGGTAGCATTTTGAAGTAACCAGTCCTGATGTGTGGCTGGATTTTGGGCTTATCTCATACACTGCTTTATTACCCACGAGATCAACGTATGGGTAGTTGCATACTAATCTCGTACGTCACACGAGTGTCGTATCGCGTTGACGTACTTGACCTGAGATTATAACGATTTGATTGGATAAACGATGACCTCTCAATTAGGTCACATTCTGACGTCACTATTTTTTTATTCATAACAAACACGTGAATTCATTCATTCTACAACTTAAATGCAATGGGTACCTCGTAAGGTTGGAAATTCACATCAACTTGGTGCGCCTAGTGGCTGCAAGAGGTGTATGATCCCCAGGGAGTTGAGATTGTTAATACAATGTGCTGTTTGCGATTGACAATCAATGATTGAGGGAAAAACAACTTGTGAAGCGCCTTAGAGTGATCTAGAAGTAGTTCAAATAGGGCGCTACAGAAATATACAAATGGCATATAATAATGATAATAAAAATGAATAATAATAACTCTGACGTATTAGAATAGCTATATATTGTATACTGTTTTGTTATGGAAAGTAGATATGAGATTCTGTGTCAAGATTGTTTCCTACTTGTGTTAGCCCTGACTAGTGTTGGTTTGATAGGTGCCCACCGAGATGCCATGCCACAGTTTGACATAAATACATTAGTTCAAAGAATCACAAAACACTCAACGGGAACCTTAGGTTATTTTAAAACATGTTGTTTAAGAGTATTTTTGTGTTATAGAACGTGCTAAATCCTAAAAACATAACTTAAAATATTTCTGTTTAAAACACAGAATAAAGAACATCGAGATTTGATGATAGAAAATGGAATTGTGAGGATCTATGTGACATATGAGAGAGTGTGCGTAATATATATAAATGTATGTATATATGATTATCATGTTGATTTTGAATCGATTCATTAGTAACCATGTTAGGAACCTGTAACGTTCTAGACTACTTTATAAAATATCTTTGAAATATTTAAATTAATGGGTAGGTAAATTCATTTAACTCCTAAGTGTGTAACAGAAAGAAATCTTCCGATTGAGCTGAAGCTTCCCAAGATGAAAACGCCTTTCGGGAATATATGTGTCGTTGTCAACCGTTGGATGTCCGATCAACCAATCAGGAATAGCGTTACGTTCTCACATGATGTCAAAAGATCCAAAATGGCGTCTGTAAATTGACAATGTGATTCCGAAAACAAAAACAGCGTCGGAGCCAATAGTACGCACGGCAACGAGTTTTATTCGTGAAAGCATCCAGTAACGTGTATGTGACATTGCTTTATACAGGTAAAATCAGTGTGTAAGGAAGTATTTGCGAAAGCATCCTACAGACATGCAAGTGTTAATAAAGCCTCAGTTTTCGTGCACGGGCAAAATGATGAGACGTTCGGACAGTTGTAAAGGATATGTTGTTCAGTATTTTGATCGTAAAATCAAATAATAAATGAGTAGCTCTCTGCTGTTATGTTGAAAGTTAGGAATATTTCGGTGTTACCTCCTTAGATCTGACCCATTCGGTCAGGAAGTTGGTTGGGTTGACCCACCATCCAACCATTATCGGGTAACTCCATCTAAGGAGATCAGCTCCCAAAAACAGGACAGCTAAATGACCAGTGAATCAGCATGCATTTGGCAAATATAGTGGGAGGCTACTTAACTTAATGGTTACTAAGGTTCACCATTTGACCCTGTGCATCGCGTGTTTTGGTTAAACCCCAAGCCCAAGGCGTGGTTCACACAGACAGAGACAAGGTTGTCAGCTGGTGCCTTTTTCTATGGAGGGATTGTGAGAATGATTCATTTTTCATTTTTCCACATGAACGACCTCGACTCATATACACATATAGATGTGTGGACCGGACCATACCTCTTTTGAATTGTGGGGATTTCATGATCTGATGACTCTTACAAGTCTATGAATGCAAAATGGTCTATTTTACTTTCAGTTTATGAGGGAAACATGAACCCCAGCTTCGGTCGAGGCCGTGGACGGAGACTACAGCTGGGCAACTCAAGCTCAAATTCCAGCTATTTAGGTAGATTAATCAATTGTTTGATATGCCAATTTGCAATATGCATCCAAATCAGCTGCCATGCAACACAGATTCACCGTCCAATTTTACCCAATTAGTTTGTCAACACGGTCTAGAAAAGTGTTCAGATCTGTGTGTTTATGTTCAACTTAATTTTTTTACAATACATGATCACCTTTTTTGCCTTTTCTGTTGTGACCACATGGTTAAAATAACAATATTTTTTTTCATATCTGAGTAAGTTGAAATCATGCTAAATATATTGCTAACTTGCCTGAAAGCAAGTAAATTCATGACTGAAAGATCGTATTTGTTTTATGCATAGATATTGTTTATTCACATGGTTAAGGTGGATGTACTAAGTTGAAGCATACATAAATACTTTTGAAGTCACTAGATTGTAGGATGTCAATATGGACACTGTATATATTAATGCAGAATGTGTTGCTTGAATCACAATATGGCTGAAACCGTTTTGCACAATTTCATTTTTTCCGTTGATATTGCCACTGCTTTCGTTTGCCAGTCATTTTACTCACCTAAATTGCATTGAGTAAGTTTACCATGTTCTGCCTTATGTCTTACCTAATCAAAACCATTTAAATATAATGGAAATGATTTCATAAAAATCACTCATCCTGGTACAACACTAATCCTATACTATGTCTTGATAGCAATCGATGTCTTTTACATTACGCATTTTTGCATATCTAACATTTTAAATCGTAAATGGTATGTAGTAATTATTTTTCAACCATCTGAAATTTTCTATGCGGATTTTACCCAGATCACGCAGCTTATCTGGGCCTCTGTGGCATGTCTGGCATTATGCAATCAAGACTGGCATTATAAAAACATGCCATTTTTTTATGGATAATAGGCATGGTGATGTATTGTCAGCCTTAATGGTTATCGTGCCATGTTCTTGCAAAATGATCAACAATCATTATTGTCTGTTAATCAACACAGACAGAGAAACAAATCATTATGTGGTGTAGGTGTTTTGTGTACAGGATTGTCTGGTCACAGTAAGCTGTGATCCCCAACTGAAACCTAAGATAGTAAACAATAAACTTGTTTGTTTCCCAGCTCGCTATGGGTATCAGTCCTTGTCTGAGGATGCAGTCAGTACTGATCGAAAGGAGAAATCCAGTCCAGGTACAGTTGCTGATTTTCTTCAGTGGATTTATCTTGGACTTTGATTAAGTGCCCAGGCACTCATTGCAGTTTGTCCATTTTCCAAAGGCCATGGATCACGGATTATTATACTTATTAGACTTACCACAGCTAAACAATTTACGTAGCTGAGTCAAGTTTTTGTTTATGTTCCTCTATGACGTTATGTTATCACCTTTATGATCAACACTGAACAGAACTATGCGGACACCTTACAATGATTGTCACCAATCACCTTTATGATCAATGTCACAACAAAATATTAACTATTACACAATTACTTCTGTGTAAGCTTAGGACTTAAGATTAATGTATACTTCTTTTGTGATTTTCGAAACACATTTAATAGGGCAGGCAACATTGATGACTTTGTGTTCATGTTGGCTTTCAGAGAAAGCTGGTCTCTCCAGATTGGTTGGAGCTTATGATGACTCGGATTCTCAGTCTGAGAGTGATGATGAACCTAGCCGACAGACAGTTCAGTCAGGTAAGTGGCATCATACACTGTTAAACTGTGTTACAGTGTTGTACTGCCTCCTTGGTCCAGTGGATAGGGTGTTTGCATGGCGAACATAGGGTTGTTGTTTCAATGCCCAGACAGCACCTTACCATTAGACGCTGAGGGCATAACGCACTGTCACACATTGCACACTCACTCTGTATGATAGCAGATATGTCGAACTATGTTAAATCCCAGTTTTAAATGAGCAGTCTGCTAAACAAGCATTAACTGATTTAAAGAAGTGAAATTCAAACAATGATTAAAATATTAATTTTATTGTAGTCTGTTTTGAAAAAGAGTGTAATGTGAAATGCTTGTTTTCAGGTGACCAGCCACCATTACCACCAAATCCTGTTGCTATGGAAACCAACCAGCCACCACAGAAACCTGGAGAAGGTCAAGCCATGGATTCTGAGGTTGCCAACTTCTTGGCAGTAAGTAGGAAAGACATTTCCTAAAGGATTCCTCTTGTGTCATCCAGCGTATTATACCTCCATCTTGTTATGATTGAAAACCTGGCCCTATTCTTGAAGAGCTCAATTCAGATTACATGTTCCTAAATAGAGCTGTCAGTAACAGCTTTTGAAAAGATGTCACCTCCAAAAGCAAACTTTTGAGCAGTGGAATCAAGGATATTATCATTATAGCACATAACCCTGTGTATAGGATGATCTAATCAAGATGGTTCATGGTGATGGTTGGATGTGTGGTTATGGCCACTTTGTTTCCTGAGAGTTAAAAGGCTCTTTCTTGCCTGACCCTGAAGCACATGAAACATATGTTGTATTTGGGATTACACTTTCTCAGAAAAGTACAGATTTGTTTGGGGGTGGAACCCACTCTCTCAGAGTAAGGCACCTAATCCCCAGCAAACAATGTTAGTGATTTGGTCCACTCTGCTGCTACGTCTTCCACACTGTTGCAAATTTTGGATTCCGGGTAACAATTTTAACATGATCTTTATGGATTATTTCAGGAAATCAATGCCATTTCAAGTGACAGCCCAGCCATGGACCACAACGACATCCCTCTACCTCCAGGGGCCTTCATCCCCCGGGACCAGACAGCTGAGGTGATGGCGGAGAAAGCTGTTCAGAGACTCCAGGCAGAGGAAGCCAAGGCCGAACCCAAGCCCACCAAGAAGACAAGCAGCTATTCCATGTTCGTGAAAGGTGGCTCGGAGCAGCTTGGAGAGAAAAAGTCGTACATGTCCAAGTTCAGTAAGGGTGGTGTAGAAGTTCTGGGACTACCAGCGGAGAGCAAGGTTGTGACTGAAGTGAAGGAAGAAGAGTATGAGCTGCCTGAAGGTACCTTGTCATCCACGAGGTTATATAGCTCTGTGAAAATTGATACAGGTCAAATGGCATAGAGACGTCTGGACTGAATATTTTAGAGCAGGTTTCATTGGAAAAACAAGCTGCGTAATTATCCTTTGAGTGGCGACTGGCCTCATCCAATTATGAAGTTTAAACTCTAATTACAATTTACTATCCAATATTAGACTGACAACAGTGCTATGGAAGGGGGTGTCATTAAACGAGCTGTAGGTAGTCTGGCAAGTGTATTCTATATACAAGACCGGTCTAGCCCTATTATCCGGTTTGGACCAGTTTTCAGGATTTAGGCAGCATGGCCAAACAGCATTTGTTTGGAAACACTTCATTATTAAGGACTATTATTATAGGACTTACAGAGCAACAAGCGATTTTTTACCCTCCTACCTACCTTTGGTACCACCATCCAAACCTCCAACTTGTACTTCTTATTAATAAAGAGTTTGGTATCCACAATACATCCTTGATAATCTCCAGGGTATACGTTCCGATAAATCTCCACTATACCCTGGATACATTTACGGCTTAAGACGATCTTATTTGATGATCTTATTACCTCCCTTTGCTGGCTACACATTCTCACAGTAGCCGATCAGCTGAGCTTGCCAGTGTCAACAAAGATAGCGGTTGCAGCCGTGAAAGTTTGTTCACAGTGCAACTCAGATTTGGGGGAAAACATGCAGACATATTGACAGGTCTGAAATCTTAAAAAAATATATGCCAGAACTCTTTCTACCTTTCCAGAGTACCTCTGCAACAATTTATTATTATCTTGCCAAGTTTAATTTGTTCCATAATTTAAAAAGCAAAAGTGAGTTGTGATTGGTACGCTCAACTTCCCAACGTAGACAACTGATTGGATAAAAAGCCAACCAAGGGAGGTAATAACATCATCGGCTCGAGCCGTAGATGCATCCAGGGTATAGTGGAGATTTATTGGAACGTATACCCTGGAGATTATCGAGGATGTCCACAATAATGCACTGGTATATGGTTTCCTGTACTGTTGTAGTATTGCCATCTGGTATTGTGTTGACAGCGCCAACGTCTGTGTGGCAGCAGTGTCAGGACGAGAACACCAAGTACATCTACTACTGGAACTATGTCACCAACGAGGTCACGTGGACAATCCCCATGGACTACACACAGTACCTCCTGTTGATGAAGGAGTACGAGGACAAACTAGCGCGCATACCTGAGGATGTCCGGAAGAGACTTGAGGCCAAGAAGCTTTCCAGGTCAGATAGTACAATTAATCATTTTATGTGTTGATTTTGGGTAGATGACTAATTTCTACAGTTATGGGGTCCTTAAAATATTATTCCTAGGACCCCTTTATCTTGAACACAAGCCTTGGAATGTATGTTCAACCTGGTTATGTTTCGAGGTTTGTCGACACCATACCAATCCTTGTAGGTTCTCCAAAGTGGTTATAGTTTTAGCGAATATATCATGTCATTTGTGCTTCATGGCTAACGGTTTTAGGAGTATTATAGGTAATTATCGCTTCTAATATGCAGGAATTCTCATGTGAAACCCTGCCAAACAGACCTAAAGAGATAAAGCTTTCTTTTCAGTCAAAATCAACAGCCCCTTCAAAATGGCAAAAAACAAGAAAAGGAGGAAGTGTGTGACCCAGTGACTGTTGGTCCGCAGTTACCTCCCCTTGCAGAACAGGATTCCAAATCTTCCAGCCCAAGCCAAATTGTGGGACCACAGCTTCCGTCCACCAGTGTGGACTCTCCAAAACTAGAGGATACTGAAAAGCTTAAGTCCAAACACAAATTCAAGTCCAAAAAGACGTATGGGCCAGATCTTCCAGAGAGTATTGACGTTGCAAGCATCGAGCCTCTAAAACAAGAAAAGGAGGTTGGCTCTAAACTGAACCCCAATATAGTTGAAGTAGACATGTTTGTAACTGAACTTTTGAAGGGTAAGGATCAGACGGGTGACAGTAGTGTCATTAACAAAGAGGCCAAGAAGACTGAAGACAAGGATAGTTACCATGGAAACGGAGTCAACTTGCCCAAAAATGGAGTGAAGAAGGAAGGTGGTAAGGAGGCGGAGGAAGATGACTTCGACATCGATGACATTGATGCAGCACTGGAGCTGGCTCTGGAGCGCAAGACGGTGAGTATCTGAACCTAGATCATCTATATCCACAAGGCTTCACTATCATCTGTCACCATTGAATACATTGTGTTGGAATGTAGTCACTATTATTGACCAGACACAGCCAGGTTCCAACTAGATGAATCCAACAAGTATTCAGACCAATGAGCATTCAGATCATTCAGATCCCACAAACAGTGATAGTGCCCAGTGTTTGCCCTCAACCCGTAAAAGCTGCAGACCCTAAGGACCCAGAACCATAAAAAGTTGTGGGTCCTGATCAGATTGTGTAGGCCGTAAAGTTTAATATAGAATAACACTCATAGTTATTGGGGATGAAAAAGCTCTCGCCCTAAGGACCTGAAGAAAACAAAAGCTGTGGGTCTAAGAGGTTTTCATTTGGCTTCGTCCCTAAGGACACACATTAATTTTGAATGCTGATAGTTCCAATGAACTGCCTGATCTACACAATGCTTCAATATCAGCTAATGTTTGTGTTCATGCATGGGGTGAGTGGGGCTTATTCCATCCATTTGTGAGTTAGACCCCCCAGATATATCCCTGTATAGGAAACAGTGATGTGAATCAGAGCATTAGATCTTTTTTTGCATATAATGCACAAAATATGTCACCATTTCCCAATAAATTTTTAGTTGCTTGTGTTCAAATAATTGTGTAATTCCTCAATGGGTAAACTTTTCTATTTCTGTGCCTTCATTTCTTCACAGACCTTGATTTACAGGTCTACAAAACCACACATACATGAAAAGGCACTTTATCTAGTTAGACGTGTGCATGTTTAATGTGAAGAGTTACAGCACTCAGACACAATAAGCATTTACCTGAAGCTGCATTTCAAGCAGAATTGATAAAAAAAAATGTCAACTCATTCGTGTTAAAGTACCCTACAGAGTGGACACAAGGGTGTATAATTATTTTGATATCAAACACTACCCATTTGAGTGAGGACTTGGGAGCAAATACTCAACATCTGGAAGCCTGACAACTACAGCCTAGAGCCCCAGGCACCTGTAATGTCCAACACTGTATATAATGTAAGTGGCCAGTGTCCAGGCATATACAACTGTAAAGTTACGGCGATATCCTATGCTTGTGTTACAGGCCGAACTGAAGAAACTGAGCAAACCTGAAACCAAAGATAGCAAACACTCCAAATCCAAGAAACACGACAGGAGAGATAAGGACAAGAAGAAAGACAAACATCGGTCAGACTACTATAAGTCAGAATCACGACACAGACATGACAAATCAGAGCCTAAGCACCGATCTGAGTCCAAGCAGAAACGGTCTTCACGCCATAATTCCGCGGAGAGCCTGAAGAGAAGACTATTCCAGCAGAAAGCCAGCCTAAGAAGGCAAGGCTTGTGGCAGCATATGGTGAGTATGGTGGGCTGTACGCTGTAGGTTATAGCTCTCAATGTTTCATGTTTCAGCACTGACAATCATGAGTCAACCCTGTCTGGATTCCAGGTATATTGTGTCCCGAGAAAACATGGATGGTCAGAATCTATGACTTTATTGATTTGCATGTATCATACCCCATTGATCTTTGACATTGTTCATTTCATGGGTTGTGATTGGCCCTTACTCAGTTATTATATAGCTATCTTATAGCTGGAATATGCTGTGTTCAGTGTTAAACCATGAACAAAACAAACGGCACAAAAGACAGTAAATTGATCCGTGTATCACACATATCCAAGAGCATATTTGATAAAACAGTTACCTCCATTCCATTCTCGTTCTCATCTCAGTTCAGCTGCCTCATCCTCGATAATCTCCAGGGTATATGTTACGATAAACCTCCACTATACCCTGGATGTATCTACGGGTGGGCCCGGTGATTTTATTACCTCCCTTTGCTGGCTCCGCATTCTCACAGTAGCCAGTCAGATAAGCCGCATAACAACCGAGATTGTCAGTGTCAACAAAGATAGCGGTTGCAGCCGCGAAAGTTTGTTCGCAGTTTGACTCAGATTTGGGGGAAAAACATACAGACAAATTGACAAATTTGAAAACTATATGCAGGAACTCCTCCTACTTCTTTCAGGGTACCTCTGCAACAATATATTATTGTGTTGCCAAGTTAAATTGGTTGCATAATTTAAAAAGCTAAAGTGAGTTGTGATTGGTAAGCTCAACTTCCCAGCCTAGACACCTGATAGGATAAAAAGCCAGCAAATGGAGGTAATAAAATCATCGGGCCAAACTGTAGATGCATTCAGGGTATAGTGGAGATTTATAGTAACGATACCCTGGAGATTATCGAGGATGAGCTGCCTATACTCATCGTTAATCTAAAGTTGTGTTTTTTAAAATAAACATAACAGCCATGTTGTTGTGTGTTGCCAGATGAAGACAGCGATGAAGAGGATGGCAGCAGGATGACACCCCCAGCAGAGCCAGTGAAGCAGGAGTCTGAGAAGCCCAAGGAAGAGGAGGAGGAGGAGGAGGAGGAGCATAAGGAGGTACCCGTGCCACACCTCGTAAAGGTCAAGGTACGTCGGACGGCAGTGTTCAGCTGGGATACACATGGCCAGATTGTATACACCACACTCTCAGGAACACCTAGCACACTCAAGGCACTCTCAGGATGCTCATGAATCCTCTGATATTCACACTTGGACACATGTTTAGACTCTTGCATTCAGACACATGCTTAGGGACATGCTCTGGTACTTGCTTAAACAATCATGCTCAGACACATGCTTAGACAGTAACATTCAGAGACATGCCTAGACAATCATGCTCAGTCAGTCATGCTAAGACACATGCAAAAACAATCATGCTGAGACACATCTCTGACAGATGCCGAGACAATCAGGCTCTGACACATGCCTAGACAATCAAGCTGAGAAACGTGCTAAGACAATCATGCTGAGACACATCTCTGACACTTGCCTAGACAATCAAGCTGAGACACATGCTAAGACAATCATGCTCAGGCACATGCTCAGACAATTACAGACATTAATAATTCAGTGTATGAGTTTTTCCAGTATGCAATATCTTTATTGATTGAGTTACACATACGTTCACTCTGCTGCAGAGAATGATTAATTTAAACAGCATCACATCTGGCTTATTATCCTCCGCAACAACGAAGTTGCGGGGGATATAGAAACAGGTGCCGTCCGTCCGTCCGTCCGTGTGTTGTACCGTGTGTCGTACTGTGCGTCCGTCACACTTTGTCCGAAGCATATCTCCAAATCTATTGGTGATAGCTTAACCAAACTTAGCACACATGTCAAGCATGATCCTTAGATGTGCCTTTTGGGGGATAAACCCAGATGTGAATTTTATTTTTCGCTGTTTCCATGGAAACGTGACTTAGGCTGTGACTATGAGGATGTCATCTTGTCCGGAGAAGATCTCCCAAACTATACATGCTAGCTTCATCAAACTTGGTACACGTATCAAGCATGATCCCTAGATGTGCTTTTTGGGGGATAGACCCAGATATGAATTTAATTTTTTGCTGTTTCCATGGAAACATGACTTAGGCTTTGACTATGAGGATGTCATCTTGTTGCATTTCCATGGCAACAAGTTAGGCTGAAACTGAATTTGGTGGTAGTGCTCCTTTCAGGAGCAGATCTTAAAAACCTTTCAGTACTCTCCTTCCACTTTGCTGTATACACATTGAACATAATCATAACTAGTAGACATATTCATAAAGAGTATTTTGCCGTTGAGGGGGATATTGATGACTTTGTCTTCTTGTTACTGGGACATTCATAAAGCTGTGATGAATCTATGCAATATTAATTCATTTGTGCACAAGTACAATGTGGTCAGCACTTACACAGGTACAAATAAAAAGTCACCTGAAACAACATTTTGAGTAGAAGTATCAATAAAAGCTCCTCTTTGGTGTTAAAATACTCAGTAGAAAGGAATAACAATACTCATTCTCCAGTGTGAATGATAACTTGTAAATACTCAGTAGCTTGAAACATTATGTGGAGCCTGAAGAAAGCCATGAGGACCAGCACCCTATTTATCACTGTCTGTTGTGTGTATGCAGGACAATGTGGAGGATGTAGCCAACATTGCATTGGGCAAGCTGGAGTTCCTTGAAGTCACAAAGAAAGGCTTGTCAAAGCTGCAGGTGCTCCTCCTCGAGTTGCAGGTACGTTGATGGTCAGGTGTTTACCTCCCCTGACTTCCAAGTCACAGCATGCTTTTGACTTTGTAGCAAAGGATTTGCAGCCCTTTAAATGGGATGTCTTTTGTCATAGGACGTAATAGGTATATGATTCAACCAGTAACCTTGACGTTGACCCTTGTACTGGAAAGACAACACACAACTGAGTCTTACAGATGTATAATTTGAAGCTTAAAGTCAGTAGTCGATTCCTTTTCAAATCACAGTAATTTTGTTTTCAAGGTTTTTTTTGGGTTTTTTTAATTTTCTATATGCAACAAAATTACACATTATTGGTAATTGTCAGGGGTTAATTCTTTTAGCTCCTTCTTGTGCCATACCCACACCAGTGATTCGAATTTTGTTGGAACTTGGTGTTTGTGACTGATGTGAAGAAGTGTAAATCGCAACAATCATGTGCAGCGGCTCACATGATCACACTCAGTATTGACTTCTGTTGCAACAGTTTTATCGGTGTCATGTTCGTGTTGGGCTTCATGGAATGGTATGCATTATGTTTCCACTTTCCATTGGCTATACAGTTATCTGGAGGATACCTCGAACTGAGATTTTCCCCTACTGCTCAATCTCTGACAACAGATTGATTCCAGAAACACTGACGTTTGTCAGTTTTCTCTTGAAGGTACCAGGGTTCTTATTACAGACTCCACATGTTTTGTTTATATTCAGACTCGCTTCCGTGACTGGCAGGATGGGGGCCTGGACACGGAGTATTTTCTATCTCGTCTACATGAAGTCAACAGACAATTGGAGCAGTACGAACAGAGTGCAGTGCCTGCTGGATTTTCGTGCCACTGGGACAGGTACGAAAGACTTTTCCTATCTTCGTGTTTCATTGATACAAGCAGGCAAGTATGGACCAATCCAAAACTTTTAACAAACCAGAGCAGAAAATGCCATGACGTTCAAGTCTGCCACCCCACTGGCTCAAACAGACTTGCAATTTGGGTCACCTTTGACAAAATTTTGGCAGTTATCAAACTTCAAAATTTCTCTTCCTTATGGAGGGAAATTTCTTTATTGGCAATGAGCCTGGTCCATACTGCTGCCCTCACGGTGTTATGTGGCTGAAACTGTTGTGAGAGAGTTGTGAGATAGTGAACAGTGCATCAAGGTATCAAACGAAGTCTGGCCACTGCAAGATGGTGGGAGAGTCCGCAAGGGAGTCAACCAGGGCCGGCAACAGGGGAGACAACCAGGGTTGGTGAGTTGGAGAAAAAATCTTTTATCTAATATTGACCTGTTTTAGATCTCTGAACAGGTGTTTCCTGTAGAAAATATTAGAAACTTGAATGTGTTTTCCCAGTGATGATTTGATAATTATCTCTGAAAACCCCTGAGAGATAAGGCACAATATAGCAATTGGATGTGCAAAAGTGAGGTAATTAGTTATTATTAGCTTGAAGTAGATTGTAAGAATAGAGTTAGCAGATGGGTGAAGTCTGAAATCACCAGCCTGAAAAGATCCTACCATTAAATGATTTTATGTTGAGTTTTTTACTTCAAATTTACCTCACTTACCTATTCAAAATGAGCTTCAAAACGAGTAGGATTTGATCATTGTGATGCCCATGAGCAGATCAGATACTGAGTATGAGGAACCATAATACGATCTTAGTGCGAACACTAGTGTGACTCTAGTACTTTACCATAGGTGATTGGTAGTTGCCGTGCTGGGACACTTTTGTGCATGTAGGCCCTGTGATAAAGATAACAATTTGCATTTTACGTACATACTCCACCATTAGGATAATGTTAGGATAAGACAATTAATCTACCTTTTGTTTCAGGCATGTGTTTGTCTAATCAGCTCTCTATTTCAGCATTAAATGTGTCATAAGGATGTTTTCTTTGTGCAAAGGGAATCAGTCTCATGTTCTGTGTAATATCTTCGTGTTAAGAAGGAGTCACACCAGTCACCGTGACCTTGTAATGAACTGGAAGGCAGAACTTTAGTAAATGACCTGTGTGCTCTAAAGTAGATGAACAAAGCGTGAAGGTGATAATGTTGATGGAGAAGGGACCACATCAGCGGATGACAAAAGCTGCCAAGCTACTGATGTTGGACAAGTAAAGATGTCTGACATGAAAGGGGCACTGAGAAATGGCCTTGAAGCAGTTATATGGTGACGCCTTAGCTGGTTTCCTGTGATTGACTTGTGTGGACCTTGCAGCCTGCATTGTATAGGGCAAACTGTATCAACAATCCTTAGACAAATTTCATTGTATCAGTTTATGAAGGCATGTTCTAATGTTGGAACTACCATTATTTTGAAACTAATTCTACATACCATGGGAAAAGCAGTTTCAATATAGCCTGCGTCAAAACCTTTATAATCTATGAGCTCAGAATTGTATTTTGACATAACTTTCAGTAGGGTTTAGTCCCCACATATATAAGACAGACATAAACATCCTAATTTCATTCTTAAGATTCTCAGTATGAAATACAAACTTTTAGAATAGAGTTTTCAATTTGTTGCCCACATTAAGAGTGGCCTGTTGGAGAGAACAGGTTCAGTTTGGCACACATTTTATGTGTTAATGTTTGAAACTTTAGAATATGCCTAACAATAGGGAATAAATGTGATTGTTTCTGTTGCGGTGTCTGTTGTTTGTTCCAGATATCCCCAGAATTGTATGTCGGTTCCTGTGTGAAGGGGGGGCGTCATCTGGTGTGAATGATGTCTTTGACTCTTTTCTGTACACTTCAGTCTATTTCCATTAATCTGACCGCCACTAAATGTTGTTCACTCACAAATAATTTGTTTTAAATCCTGTTAAAGAGTCTGAAGATATTTTGGGTTTTATACATTTTCTTGTTTGGAGTCTTTAAGTCAGTTCTCGGCATGAAAACATGTTTCTGAGCCATAAACCATCAACCTTGTTCTCTTTATCTCGAGTTTATCCTAGCTTTTATCACCATCCTGATAGAGTCTGTATTTCATAGTAGTGGCAAAAATTTGTTGAACTTCACTACAGATAAACGAGTTATTATCTTCATTTGAAAGCAGCTGTGTAGCATCACTCAGTTGGTTCAGTAGAACATTCGATATCACTTTCTGTTAACAACTGAAAGTTTTTGGAAAGTAAATCTCAATTAAGTTCAGTGAAAATGGAATGAGTGAAGGGCCCGGTACAATTCTGAGATATTCTGGAGTTTTATTTTTCAGCCTGCTTATATTACCTTTTCATCTTCTTGATATTTGTTTAGCAGTGTGCTAAACAAGTATTACTTTTAGTGCTGTGATTTTCAAACATCATACTGATTTCATCTGACTGAAATTATACCATTTAATAAATATACTGAACGTCATACTGGTGCAATTTGCCCTTATGTAATGAATGAGAAGATGTAGGTTTAGTGAAACAGTGAGTTCGAAGAATGAGATGTTTCTTTCTTACAATGACATCCTCGAGTTCAATACATTAGGTCCAAATACAGTAGTGTGATGTTCTTTGTTTATTACATACCCTTTTCATGACACAGACTATTTGATCAAACTGTAAACATCACTGCTGAAAGTTTATATTACCATGATCTGAGTATCACTCCTTGTAAGAGACATAACACAGATATAAGAGTGAGATCGGATTCCCCATCCTTGTGTCATCATTCAAGTGTCAGGTTCTGATCATGAAAGAAACAATACAGAATAATATTTGACACAAAATAACCTCAATTTAATTACTATATTATTTCCAAGATTTCATTTGGGACACACTCAATTTCGAGATAACACTGTCTTTTACATGTTTTGATCTGAGTACTGCTGAACATTGAAAAACAAGATCCGGCAGCATGCAATACAGAAATCCTGTATTGCATGACGGTATGGCTATCGTATGTTTAAATGGGTATGTAATAAAAGTTCTGGACCATCTGATTCTTCCATGTCATTATAGTTTATCTGTCATGCTGGGGCAGATTAAATATTAACATTAAAGAATCAGATGGTCCTTAACTTAATAAACAAGATTTTGAAATTACCACCATTCAAATTCTGGCTCATAAACTTCACAGAGAGCTTTCAAAACAATCCGAGAAGTCATGCAAAATTCAACATGTTTTCTGGTCATATTGATCATGTATGGAGATATGCATGTAGAAAATGGTATGAAACACTTCTTTGTTCACTGTTATTAAAGATGTGATCCACCTTTCTGATACAATTATGGCCGTGGAAGACCATAGTTTACTTCCCTAGGTGGGTTGTGTGGTAAGCAAGCTCTTGGTGTAACCACCGCAGCGTTTCAGAAATAAGCAGTGAACACCCAATCAACTCACTCAGTCATTTAGTGATATATGATCCAAATGGTTGGTGTGCTAAATAGCTGTGAGTTCATCATGCATTATCAATGTCTCTGAAGTCCGACAAAATTTCCTGTGCCAAGAACCTTTGATCGTGGGTTTGAATCCCGGATTTGTCCTGATTATGTCCTTTGGTTTGTTAGCACTGTTCCCGTGCTCATGGATTTTACCAAAGTGGAAAACGCCCAAGTCCTGCAACATATTGGAAGTTCCTTCCACTTCAAGCTGACATGGGCGGTGGGGTAGCCTAGGGGTTAAAGCGTTCGCTCGTGACGCTGAAGACCCAGGTTCGTTTCCCATGGGTACGATGTGTGAAGCCCATTTCTAGTGTCCCCCGCCATGATAGGTGGCGTAAAACGTAACTCACTCACTCACTCAAGCTGACATGCTGTGACGTGACTGAAATACTGTTCCAAGCAGCATTAAACCAATCTCTCCCAGTCGATTAATTACTTTGTAATTTGCTGTTCACATGTCTGTTTCTAGACTGCACAATGTGCTTGTTGTCCGGTCATTGAACCTGGCAAATCTGGCAGTTTGAAACCATCAGACATTATGTTCCTGTCAACTTGACCTTCATCTCTTGCAGACTTGTTTTTCAGGGAGAAACACTTCTCAACATCAGAAATTGATCTTTGCATTTTTTTTCTTCATGGAATTTTCCCATGTAGAAATTTCAGACGTTACTTCTACACCGATGAGAAAAATGGCGAATCTCAGTGGGATTACCCTGAGGCAAAACCTGTAGCAAACTCAGTACCCAATAGCCAATCAGAAGTGTCGTCTTCCAACGAGCCAGCCATTCCGGAAGTGGCCCCACCGAGCCCGAAACCGAAGCCACCACCCCCACCTCTTCCTCCAGATGAAGAAGAGCCAGTGCTGTATGGCCCTCAGCTTCCTCCCACTACAACTGTCTCCCTGCCCACTGAGGAGGAAAATCTTGCCAGTGAAGTATGTAGCTTTTATATTTGAAGTACCTGCTTTAGGAATGGACAACCCGTGAGATCTGATCTTCAGCAACCCATGATGTTAGGCATTGTTTTTGGGTGGTCAGACTCGCTGACTTGGTTGATTCCAATACTTGATTATTTGCAGAGAACATAAAGCTAGAATACTGCTGAGTGTGGCATAAACAACAAACAAAAACAAGAATGAACAAGGCTGGATAATGAAGATGTGTAATTACTCGATATTCCTGGTAAAATACCAGCATCACCTGTGATTTCTCCAAATCACTCTGTTCAGAACTATTTGTGTCATTATGTATGGTGTGTATGATTCTCCTCGGGCTGACATGAAGAAGCCCATTGTATGTGTATATCTGTTCAACCAGATATTTGTTATTTTTTTCTTATCCTGACTCATGATCTTTTGCTTATCTCCCTTTCCTATGCGAATGGTAGTGGAACACTTGAATTCTTTGAAGTTCCTGAAGCGGATGTAAAACTACACTCACGAGTTACCTCCCTTTCCCCCGCAAACAGTCATGTGACCAGCCTTACGTGTCACTCTCTCCCTTTTCGCCCAAGCGGATGGTTGGGCGAGCACTGGAGTCACGTATACGGCATTATATCCTTTTTATTTAGAACCTATTCTTTGAAATTACGCTGTGTATGGATTTGGCTATAATTTCTTTGTATTTTGTGGAAAAAAATTGAAGAATTTTTTTGTATTTGTGTCATATTTTCATTGTAATGTAACTTGTTTACATTTCATAAATCTTGCAGTGTTTGCAGGCACAGGTTATCTGTGGCTGATCCTCACCCCAATGCCCTTTGTGCATCTAACGATGTTCTTCCAGCTGACGTTGTACATATTGTGTTGATTTATCAAATCTACAATTTAATCAATATTTGTCTTATATCTATAGATGTGCCATGGATCAGGTGAGGAAGTCACAGCTGATAAATCTGGAGATCAGTCTGCTAACCGTATGTTGCTTGCTACTGCAGAAATTCATAATACTTGTGCTATGTCGAGTACGTTGCAGGGGCAGTGGTCTGGTACGGGGGCGAAGAAGAGATCGGCTACAACGGAGTTGACACCGGCTCTAAGTGAGAAGAAGATTTCGTCTTCATCTACGTCACAGAGGAGAGCATCTGTAGCCAGTTCGGAGGCTAAATCTATGCAGCCTAGTAAGTCAACGCATCAGAAATCAGAAATCCTTCTGAGGCACACAACTCATCAGCGTTCGCAAATGCTTCATCTACATTGCAACAGCTTCAATCAACTCAGAACTTTGATCCAGGTGAATTCATGAGGCAATTCACCAACCAGATGATGGCCATGATGGAACGTAGGTTAGAAGAAGAAGCGAAGGCTCGACGGAACCTCTCATCTGCTGACAACATGCGCAAACCCTCAGACCTGCGCAAACCTACTCGTCATAGATCTACGTCACAAGACTACGTTGGCGAACGTACACCTTTGCGAAGGTCTCCACAGTCTGACGACTCTGTCATCATGGAGGAAGATAGAAGGCATGAGAAGTCTACTCACACTTCGACATCTACATCTGCGAATCCTCAACGTTCGAGAACACCTAAGGATCCATCTCCAACACCAAGCCGCTCTAGATCAAGATCACACATTTCTCACAGACGTTCGTGAGAACCAGGTTTACGGAGGCAGGTTTCAACTTGTCGGGATGGATCTCGAGATAGATGTTCGCGAAGAGTATCACGAGACAGAGGTTCGCGAAGAGAGGATTCACGAGACACAGGTTCACGAAGAGTTGTATCTAGAGACAGAGGTTCATGAAGGGAGGACTCACAAGATAGACGTTCGCGAAGGGAGGAATCTAGAGATAGAGGTTCGCGGAAGGTTGATGCAAGAGATGGAGGTTCGAGAAGGGATGACTATAGGGATACAGGTTCGCAGAAGGATGATTCCCGGAGGCATAGTTCTACCGAACGAGATATATCTAATGAACAAGCCGACTTCTTCTTCCCGGACTCCGAGGTTACAGCTTGGATAGTCAATGGATTGAACTTGGAGTCTCCTTCTAAGGATGTGGATGAAGCCTACACATATAAGATGTGCAACGACGACTTTGACTCGTTGACTATTCCTTTGATTGAACCTATATCCAAGGTACCTTCTAACCTACGCACAGCTTTTGAGAAAGCTGCAGACATCTACAAGGTTCGAGAACTCTCAGAATTACAGGCAGATAACAGCAATGCAGATACCTACAGGGTTCGCAAACCCTAGGGTTAACGAACCCTAAAATCAACAGGCAGGATGATGACGTTGACTCTATTACCATCGGCTGAATAAAACGAAGCAATGATTAAAAAGATCAACAACATGTGCGATCTCTACAGTTTACAGCCTGCACAACTCTACAACCTGCACGAACCTTACACCTGTAGTAGGTTCAGTTTCAGACGACAACCTACTTGATGAGAGGAATCCCTTCATCTACACGGATGCGGAGATTTTATCCTGGGTAGTGGATGGCCTGCGGATATTGTAGTTCACTCACTCACTCCAACCCAACAGAGACGTACTGCATATACGCTGATGACTTCGACTCCAATATGATATCGCCTATGAAGCCGATATCTCAAGCACTGGAGAACCTCAAGGCGACCATCGTAAAGGGCTTAAGGTTAACAACGCCTTCAAGAATCCTTGAATGGACGTGCAGATGAGATTATTAACACTCGTCACTCAGCGTGGGGGTTAGGATTTACATCCTAGATTCAACATCAGTATTTCTTCAAGATCCATAGACATGTCTCGACAGCCTCCTTCGTCATGCTGGTAATATTATCCACAATGGGAATACGTGATTAATATCACTGAACAAGATTTTATACTTGGAGGAACCCTTATTCAAGAGGTTTATATGAGCGGCGTAGAACTACGCGTGCTTTTACTCAACCAACTATTGCACCAGATTTTATGGAGGCCAACTTGCTACAACACCGGTGACGTCATGCTTGGAAGCTGATTGGTCCACGTCAGACAACGCCTCCTACTGACGGAGCAGGCGCCAGCCTTGCTATAAATAGACAACGCTTCGATGTATGCTGATCAACACAGATCGCCTGCGTATATAAGGGGAAGAATGATGTATCATCACTGCAATCAGAGGTTAGCACTTCCAATGGAACGTCCTATCGTTTGGAATATTGTCGGCTCTATGGTTATTCATACGAATAACCAAGCCTATCGGCTCCTATCTGCATCATCGAGGTCTATGCAGTGCCGGGTTATCTGGACGACAGCATACAGGTTCTTCAAAGTGCCAATCAACTCAGACAGCAGCTGAACTTCACAATTAAGTTGGTCACGCAACTAGGATGGCTAGTGAACCTGATGAAGTTGGAGCTAGTAATCAAAACAAGATCTTCAATTGCTGGGAATAAGAATTATCACAACACAGAATCGAATTGTGGTCCCAGAAGATCGTTGGGTCAAGATACAAGCCATGATTCCACAAGCAGTTATCTCTCCGTTAACACTACGAACATGGCAATGTCTACTCGTTACAACTAAGGCCGCTGCAAAGGTTCCTGACAAAACATCTGGACAGCATCGACCCTATCTTGCTGCCAGACAATCTCAAGATATACCTACTTTGGTGGACCCACAGGGCGAACGTCTTCGTAGGGACCTATTTACAAGAGCCGGCCTTCGACACACATCTCTACGTAGACGCATCGATACAAGGTTGGGGTGCACATCTCAACAATCAAGTTGCATCAGGGAAGTGGTCCAAAACAGAGCAGCATCTTCACATCAATGCTGGAGATGAAAGCCGTGATCAACGCCTTACAACTATGGTCGAGCTCGCTGATCAACCGAATGCTGATGGTCCACACGGACAACTCTACAGTGGCATTCTCTATAAATCGGCAAGGATCTACAAGGTCACCAAGCCTTCTACAGCTCACATGCCAGTTGTTTGACATCTGGATAAAGGCGTGTCACATACCCGGAGCCAAGAATGTGCTTGCAGACGCTCTCTACTGACCACTGCACCTGTCACCTACGGGATGGATGCTCCATCCAGAAGCATTCCGGCCTATCATATTGGAAATAGGATCCCCATGCATAGACCTGTTTGCCACGAGGTTCAACATACAACTACAGATGTTTGTCTCACCAGTTCCAGATCCTCAAGCCTGGGCAAACTGTTGAAGATCTAACAGACACAGGCGCTACAACTGACTTTGGTCGCTCCCTATTGGCCAGCGAGAGTATGGTTCCTAGACCTGATAGAGGATCTCGGAAGTCCAACAATCAAGTTACCAGATTGGCTGAACATACTCATACATCCGCACATCAAGCAAGTCCACGGAATCCCAGTACTGTTCCAGCTACACGTGTGGACCGTATCAAAACATGTTTGAAGAAGAGAGGATACTCCGCCAGAGCAGCCAAGGCAGTAATGTTAGCGTTACGCAAATCCTCTCGTAACCTGTCTGATGACAAGTGGCTGAAGTTTGAGACTTATGCAAGGCGGAAAGGCTTCATTGCGATGAAAGCTACTCATCCTCAAGTGGCGGAATACCTATGTCATCTTATACATACTACACATCTGAAAGGTTCGACATTATCCACGTACCTCGCTGCCATCAGTACAGTGATCACCATGAAGACAGGCATCAAGTTTACGAAAGTACCAGAATTACTTGCTCTGCGGAGATCTTTTAATCTGGAAAACCAGCAAAAGAAATTCAGAGCTCCCGCCTGGGATCTGAATGTAATTCTAAGTCATCTCACGAGTGATGCCTACGTACCTCTAGATCAGACTACCTTCGAGCTGCTTACACAGGAGACTCTGTTCCTGCTTGCACTAGTCACTGCAGCTCGAATATCAGAGATACATGCACTGGACTTTGGTCGAACAAGATTCGACACCGAGCAACATGCCACAGTACATCTAGGTCTTAGATGGGACTTTATTGCCAAGAACCAACTACCTGGTCAACCAGATAGATAGTTTCATGTACCAGCGCTATCCACTATCCTCGGACCAGAGGATATGCAGGACCTATCCTTGTGTCCAGTCAGACCTATTGAAGATATATCTTTAAAAGACTAAAACAAGGAGACGAAAACTCAAGAGCCTGCTCATCCCGTTATCCACAGTGACATCAGCAGAAGTTTCAGGACGACAATGGATGAGAGCCGTCATATTGAGAGACTATAAAGCAGCAGGACTAGAACCTCCAAGAGCTTCCAACCCACATGAAGTCAGAGCACTGGCGTCAACACTAGCTCTGCATGGAAATTGCTCTATATCAACAATTATGGAGGGCTGCTTTTGGAAGTCGGATACAGTGTTTACCAACCACTACCTCCGAGATATAGCCACCGAAGATGTCTCAGGCATTCACCAATTGGGGCCTCTGGTTGTAGCACAGCAACTAACGGTTCCACAAAGGCGCTGAGTTGGAAAATCTCACCCTTTATCACGTTGACTTGTTGATAACTTTTACTAAGGAAAAGTATTAGTTTGAAAGTCAATGCGCACGGTCTAGGACAGACAAGCATGAGTGATTAAAGACACTGTACGGGTAAAGATCTTACCTGTACATTAAGGGGTCGCAACTCATTTATGATAAAGATCTTATCATAATCTATGGGTTGTTATAGATATCCAGTAATAAGAAGATACTAGTATATCTGAAGCCACATGAATCAAGATGATTCAACTTGTCTGAGTTTGTAGCAAGACAAAAAAAGTGGTCCCCCCGAGGTATAACGGAAGATGGAAGAATAGGATCTCGGAAATGCCGTTACGCAGTTCCCATTGGGGGGGGGGGGGGGAACAGGACGTATCTAAGGACAGCTGATGAATCCAGGAAGTGGCCTGACCCACCACTAATCTGTCCGATTCTATAAGCAAAATATCATGAGTCCGGATGAGAAAAAATATGTAATTTTTCAAGTAAAATATATATTTTATACTTATCCTGACTCATGAGGTCGAGCCCTCTCAACCTCCCCACTAGAAACACCTCGGATTTCACAGTAGATCCAAGTGCATGGGCAGAAAAATCAGGAGAGTGACAAGTAAGGCTGGTCACATGACTATTTACGCGGGAAAAGGGAGGTAACTCATGGGTGAGTGTATTTTTATGTCCACTTCGGGAACTTCAAAGGATTCAAGTGTTCCACTACCATTCGTATAGGAAAGGGAGAAAAGCAAAAGATCATGAATCAGGATAAGTATAAAATATCAATTTTACTTGAAAAATTACATATTTACTGTTATGTATGTGTTGTAACCTTCTGATTGTTTCTTTTCTTCAGATTGATGGCGAACCCATGGCACCAGATAGCTCAGATGGTAAGGTTCATTTCAGTAAAAACTTGGTAATCTGGTATTCTCACGTCTTGCTATAATAGCTCCTTAATGGTATGTCATTCACTCACAAAGTGGATTAGAAATTACATTATCATTTCACGAGTCTACAAAAGTGCTCACCCATTATACATATAAACACTCAGTGAGTGTTTATATGTTTAATAGAAGAAGACCCCAGGATTATATTGATAAGTAAATGTCTTTACAGAAATGCCCCCTGAAGAACCACCTAAGCCACCAGAGCTTGAACCTTCTGAACCTCTGAAAGAAGATCTACCAGTGTTTCCTGGAGAACCCCCACCTCCTGGAACTGAAGTTCTGTTTGGTCTGCCACCTCCCCCACCTCCCTCGGAACCATATCCTGGGGATGACGAAACCAGCTACAGTGTGGATCATGACTCACCAGAAGATGCCGACATGGATGTGGATGATCCAGACACACCCACATCAACAGATGCTGAAGACTGTGTGACGTCCTCCCATCCAGACTACATTCTTCCATCCATCTCTGTCTCTTCCTCATCTGACATATCATCTGTCTCACACCACTCAACAGAAGCTCTGGAGAGTGCCCCAGTCATATACCGGGCTCCGCAACTAAATGTTGCTGCTTCGTCTTCATCAATATCTGCCATTCCATCAGCGTCTGCCTCTTCATCAGTGATCTCAGCGTCATCAACTGTAGCAGTTCCTCCATCGATGGTGGCGGGTCCAGCAGTGATAACATCGCAGCCAGTAGTTCCAGCTGAGGCTGCCATGCCGAGTTGTGTTCCCCAGAGTTCAGTGCCCATTGACATGTTTGCCAGCACTACTGTGAGCGAGGAGATCTCGAGCACCTCCTTGATGGAAACCCCAGCTTCCCTTCCCCTTCCGCCTCCACAGCCAGAGGTAGAGAAAGGACAAAAGGAGAAGAAAAAGAAGAAGAAAGATAAGGTAAGCAACGTTTGTCAAGGTTTTCATTACTGTACTAGTCCCTCTGTGTAGAGATCCATAGTTGGAGCAAGCCTGAAGTTGATGCCCTGATGGTGTGTGTTGATGCCCTGAAGGTGTGTGTTGATGCCCTGGTGTGTGTTGATGCCCTGGTGGTGTGTGTTAATGCCCTGATGTTGTGTGATGATGCCCTGATGGTGTGTTGATGCCCTGATGTTGTGTGTTTATGCCCTGATGTTGTGTGTTGATGCCCTGGTGGTGTGTGTTGATGTCCTGATGGTGTGTGTTGATGCCCTGGTGGTGTGTTAATGCCCTGATGTTGTGTGATGATGCCCTGGTGTGTTGATGACCTGATGGTGTGTGTTGATGCCCTGGTGTGTGTTGATGCCCTGATGTGTCTTGATGCACTGATGGTGTGTGTTGATGCCCTGATGTTATGTGTTGATGCCCTGGTGTGTATTGATGACCTGATGGTGTGTGTTGATGCCCTGGTGTGTGTTGATGCCCTGGTGGTGTGTGTTGATGCCCTGATGTTGTCTTGATGCGCTGATGGTGTGTTGATGCCCTGATGGTGTGTGTTGATGCCCTGAAGGTGTGTGTTGATGCCCTGATAGTGTGTGTTGATGCCCTGATGGTGTACGTTAATGCCCTGATGTGTGTTAATGCCCTGATGTGTGTTGATGCCCTGATGGTGTGTTGATGCCCTGATGGTGTGTTTATGCCCTGATGGTGTGTCTTGATGCCCTGATGTGTGTTGATGCCCTGATGGTGTGTTGATGCCCTGATGGTGTGTCTTGATGCCCTGATGTGTTGATGCCCTGATGGTGTGTCTTGATGAACTGATGGTGTGTGTTGATGCCCTGGTGTGTATTGATGACCTGAAGGTGTGTGTTGATGCCCTGTTGTGTGTTGATGTTCTGGTGGTGTGTGTTGATGCCCTGATGTTGTGTCTTGATGCGCTGATGGTGTGTTGATGCCCTGATGGTGTGTGTTAATGCCCTGATGTTGTGTGTTAATGCCCTGATGTTGTGTGTTGATGCCCTGATGTTGTGTGTTTATGCCCTGATGGTGTGTGTTGATGCCCTGATGGTGTGTGTTGATGCCCTGATGTTGTGCGTTGATGCCCTGATGGTGTCTTGATGCCCTGATGGTGTGTGTTGATGCCCTGAAGGTGTGTGTTGATGCCCTGATGGCGTGTGTTAATGCCCTGATGTGTGTTGATGCCCTGATGTGGTGTGTTGATGCCCTGATGGTGTGTTGATGCCCTGATGTTGTGTGTTGATGCCCTGATGTTGTGTGTTGATGCCCTGATGTTGTGCTGATGCCCTGATGGTGTGTCTTGATGCCCTGATGGTGTGTCTTGATGCCCTGATGGTATGTGTTGATGCCCTGATGGTATATGTTGATGCCCTGATGGTATGTGTTGATGCCCTAATGGTGTCTTGATGCCCTGATGTGTTGATGCCCTGATGGTGTGTCTTGATGCCCTGATGGTGTGTCTTGATGCCCTGATGTTGTGTCTTGATGCCCTGATGTTTGCCCTGTTGCAGTCCATCAGTAGCAGCAGCTTGTCCCTGAAGAAGAAGAACGTGTCATCGCTGGTGCAGAAGTGGCAGCAGGTGAAGGTGCAGGTAGAGGAGGAGGAGAAGGTGAACGAGGAGCGGCAGATGGCCATCAGACAGAAACTGGAGGAGTGGAAGAGGGAGCAGGCACACAGGTACGTCCTCACATGTACACTGTACAGTACCATATCTCAGGGTTTATAGTTATATACTCCCATTCAGATCTGAAAGCAATACTTGTTCAGCCTTGATCAGTCAGGCTCACTACCTGTTTTAAACGCCAGCTGCCCAATAAGCTCTTTAAACCACCTGCTGCCCTCAGACTTGTCCAGTGTTGCCACAAATGAGGCACAAGTTTTAGATACTTTGCAGTAAGCTAACCTTCCTGATTTTGTTTGTTTGTGTAGTGATTTCACCTTTCTTTTTTATTGTCTGTGTTTAGCTACTCCCGTTTTTAAGTCAAGCAAGTATGATTAAGTGCCTTAAAGTATTCATATCTTTAGAGTTGCTTTGTTTAGTTTACTTAGAGTTATAGAGATGACAATCGCTTGTTTTTCTTTTTCAGCTGAGACATGGGAACATTCTACACTTTTTCTGTTGCTGTTGCCCAACCCTTCTCAATAGTCCCCACAGTATACACAGCAACATCCAGCACCACGATGGGGAATCATTATCTCATCATGGACACCGTCACAATGGTTCCTGTGGAATACACAAAACTCTACTGTTCCTGGCAAACAAGAATGTCCTCTACAGCTTTCCCTTAGGCAAGAAATGCAGACCCAGTTGCACAATGAGGACTGTGATAGCGAGAGGTGTGTGTCTGTGCACCACCCAAATCACAATGTGCCCGAAAAGATGGGTGTGCACAGCACGTTGGGTGACTCCCTCAGATCCACCAGTGAGAGACTATTCATGCTGTGAACTGTATTCCTGATGTAGTCTGTCAGTACAACCCTCAGTATGTGTGTTATGATGTAGTTTTATATATTGGACACACGTGCAAACTGTATGTAGCATAAACAGTGCTCTGTCAGCCGGATGGGCCCACACTATCGAGATCATCCTGTTACAGTTCAGTTCAATTTTGGTTACAGAGGAATTAATTTTCATTTGATCTATAATGTCATATCTTTCAGGATCTGATTATTTCCATGATTTTAAGTTGCACCACTCAGCTTCAACTGACAGACATAAAGGACTCATGTTGTTTGAAGTTCCACACGAATAAGAAACATATCAGCAGGCATCGGAAGAGTTTGTAGTCTGTCAACACTACACAATCCTGCTGATGTGACGTTAAATGTTAACTCACAACATCGGGCAGGGCAAGGAGACGAGAACAGGAGGGTTTAAAGAGTTCTGTATGATGTGTGATTACAGTCAGTGCTGTATGTGCTTAAATCAATCATTAGAATGTACTAGAATAGTACACTACATAGAACTGACTTTGTTTTCTATGACGCCACCTTCTCGAGTTCCAGTGACAATATCCTCAGCATTGCATGTAACAAATAGTCAGTATTCAACCATACAGTCATGGATAGTGCACATTTGCTGTTTCAGCAGTATTCTCTGACTCAGTTGTATTGTTATAAACTATATCCACTTGTTAACTATTGCCAGATGTGTCCACTCACATCATGGATGATAAAGTCAGCTGGTGTTTCATTGGGAACAAAATATGTTGATGTTTTGCTATGAAGCTTTAAGGTCATCCCGACCCGTGTTTTTTCCACCTGCGATTGCTGTTGTAGAGGAACAAATAACCATGGTGACCGGGTCTTCTAGAAAATATGTTTATGTAAATTATGGACATATTATTGTCCTGTTGATACTTAAGATTTGAGATCATGATAATTTGTGGGGTATGATTGATTTGGTACACCTTAAGATAAAATGTTCGTGCTGTACTAGTTTTGGGACAGTGATCTCCCTTATGATATATGTCCCATCCAGAAATGTTGTACAATACAAGGTCCACAATACTATCATACAATCACATGCATTGTGATAAAACCAGTGAAGGTCCGGGTTCGATTATTGATCTTCAGTCACCCATGCTTGTCGTAAGAGGCCTCTAACGGGATCGGGTGGTCAGGCTCGCTGACTTGGTTGACACCTGTCATCGGTTCCCAATTGCGCAGATCGATGCTCATGCTGGTGATCACTGGATTGTCTGGTCCAGACTCAATTATTTACAGACCACCGCCATATATCTGGGATATTGCTGAGTGTGGCGTAAAACTAAACTCACTCACTCACTCATTGTGATAGATAAGTTCCATACACGTTGAGACAATCAGCAGTATATTCCCCTAATCAAGAGCTTGAGTCAAACAGAAAACCCCTGATAATGTGGGGGAAAAGATAGTTTTATTTTGTATTCAAAGTTACGAAATTTCTTTAGATCCTTGAGTATTTCTGGGATCCTAATTTGGGTTATTAGGAAGATCTATTCTTAGGTGGTTAAATTTGAACTCTGTCTTTGACTATTAATTTCTATGTCTTAAACCCTTGATCTAAGAGAGTGACACAATCGTGGGTGACCTGATCTGATAGAATACTGCAAGCTCAAGCGTTTTTATAGTTGATGAAAACATAGACCGTGCTCATTATGTTTGTTGAACCGGGTATAGCAATGGTTCTTGATCATGGTGAATGTTACAAATTGTCTGTACACATCGTTTTGAGAAAGTCTTGTAGTATCCATTGCTTTCTGCAGTTTTCCATTGAAAAGTGTTACCAGAGTCAACTCGTGGATCTCGCTGTTATGGTGTTTCATCTACACCAGTAAGTCATGATATTAGTGGTCACATAGTTCTGTATTCACATTGTTCTGAGAAAGTGTACACAGTGTCCATTGTTTACAGTATTCATGGTATACAGCCCGAACGTTACTGTCGTCAGTCAGTGGATTTCAGTGTTGTGTTTCCTGTGTCAGAGTGGCTGTGTGTCTGGTATTGACGCCATGTTATTGATGTAGATATAATACATACACCGACCTGATAATTGATTCATTGATTATTATAACCAATTATGACGCGGACATTCTGTTCAATGCTACTTATTAAAATTGCATACTCTCTCTGTGTTGAATAATCAGTGAATGGACATTGGTGTAATAAATTTCCAGTAGATGAAATAGTTAAGATTTCTTTCGAAGTGACATTTTAGTTTTCACACATTGTATGCAAATTTTCTATTTGTTTCAATTTTATTTGAGTAAAGCTGAATTCTTGCTCTCATATTAGGGGCGTAGCTACCATTATGAAAAAAGCTCGGGCTTACACGTGATTTTGAAAATGAAAGTTGGGCAAGCTCTCAATACTATCTAAATGTATAGCTTTGTAACATATCGGGCTTACCCGAAAATATTGGCTTGCTACGAGCCTGCATATTATATATTGCATATTGATCTGTCTATTCATATTTAGCATCTATGAAGAGTTTTATGAAGAGTTTTTGAAAAAGTTAAAGAACATTTTGTATTTATTGTGAAAGTATCAATGTATTGTGATTTGCAACTCCTACAGCTTCAGTATGTCACCATGCATACTTGCGGTCAAATGTTGTCTTTGTATTGCGTGTTTGTAGGTTACACAGTCATTTCTACCTCTCATTTCAGGTTAGTGATTTACTGTTACCCTGGCTCTCTTCACTGTACTGTTGAAGGATCTGGATCCACTTGCACAAAGTGACCTTAGCGCTGCAATGATTGTAAGTCTATGTTCAAGTATTGGAGTTACAATCACCTTAGCACTAAGATTGCTTTGTGCAAGTGGACCCTAATGTTCTGAATATGCTTTTGAGTTGTGGTCAGCAGTAGATTACAAGCATCCATTTTGTGAATGGGTTTGTCTATTGTGTTCGTCGTTTGTCTATAAGTGTTCGCATTGTCACAACTTTGAGTAGTAAGGATGCACAGATGCATGGTAAGACAGTAAGCAGCAAACACCTGTGTAAGCCAGTGTCAAGTAAATTTCTGCTTTCAGTAAGTTTAACTGTTAGGATTCAGTATAGTGTTTGAAATCTGTATGCTGGTTCTTTAAGCTTTTCTCCTTTAGAGTTTGAATCAAAGAACCCCCATCTCTTTATCTTTTAACATTTGATTATATTGTGTTTATTGTGAATATTCAGCAAATTGCAAAATTTTATTGTGTCAGAAGGCTATGTAGTGACACCAAACAAAACAATAGTGACCATTTTATATTGTACGATCATCAGTCATAAAATAACATTTCTGTTTGTATGTTTGAACAGTTTCAAGCAAATGATTTAATTCACTGAAATCAACTCAGTACATGTTAGCTGTACTGCAAGTCTTCCTTTATGATGGAATTGTTTCCAGAACATGTGAAGTGGTGAGATTTCTTTTGTTGTATCGTGTATCCTGTATCATATCGCCTCTTCCTTTCAGATATGTGTCATCACAATAGAGTGTAACTTAATAGCACTATTCTCCAGTGACGCCAGGAGCCATGATGACATAGGGCGTTTCTGTCACTGTTCATAGTCATTTATAACTCTATTTACAATTAATCTGTAAATATGCCACATGAAATAGGGCCTGTACATCAGAGCTTCAGTAGAAGTGTTAAACCATGGAATGTGAAGGTATAGTTTAATTCCTATGTGAATGACAGGAGTTACTCAAATGATGTTTGAATGAAGATATTGTTGATCATGTTGCAGTTATTTTGAAGATAGTAAGGGGCTACGGTCTTATAATTTCAGGGGGTGCCATATGTTGCACAAAACTTGATTCTGTTTTGCTAAGTGATGAGTGTAGTCCTAAGATTGTTCTCTGTTTGTCATGTGAATGTTCTTTGTCACTATTTAATGATGTACATAATATTTGGCAAACATGAAACCACTTGATAATTAGAAGGATGGTCCTCCTGCAGGTATCTGTAGGTAGGAACAGATTTTTTGGCAAAAATGAACTTGACCCTTGGTGTTTGTATTAGTTAATCCAGGGCATTGATAAACTTGGCAGATTGTTGCCATGGTGATGGTATTTTTGTTAATGAATGAAGGTCATGATGGAATGTGAAAAAAGGCCACAGCTAGGACAACACCTTGTATATTCCTGATATTGTATGTGTTGCTGGTTAAGGTTTGGGGTTCTTCTTACGACAGTGGCAGCTACATTGTACATATATATCTCATCACCACCTTTGTTTCAAGCACCTGCGACACCAAAGAGACTGCTTCCATGATTATTGTTGAAACTATTAGTGACTGATGGTCATATGGACCCTGATGTTAATAAAGTAGCTGCCTGAAAACTTGTTTATCTCACTTCAGTCACCAATTTGACCCAATAGGACAATCATACCAAGTGCAAGCCTTGTCACCTTCAGCAGAGCTCTATATGTAAAACTTAAATTTGTATGTATGTACTCACTGTTAACCTTTAGATATGATGTACAAGCTTAAAAACATTTATCCCTGCTCAGAAAGGCAAGCCCTTTGGGCCAGTTCTGCTTGTTGATGTGTCATGCTCACCTCTGCTCACAAACAGGTGCTTACTCTTTCACATGATTCATTTGTGTACATGGGAATGAATTAAGTATTTCAAAGTGACATGTCAGGGTACCCTCAATCCAAGGATATTTGACAGGCTGATCACTTAGAAATATCACTTGAAGCATATATTCTACCAAATAGCTAGGTCTCATGATGACTGTACATAAAGAAGTATTTTATCAATTGCAATCACCATGTAAATAAACGTATCTCAAATGATTCAGAGCTGTTATATTTGTTGTGTTTGTCCTCGCAGTTGATGCCAAGAACTTCACACAATAGTCTTGCATTCCCATATTCTGTGCAGAGTTGCATCCTTTTGCTGTTTCAGAAATATTAGACTGTTTTCGTGACAGATAGTTTCATTATGGTGCATATTCGGTTATGAAGAGTAACATTCTTCAGCCAATCCTGAAACTGCTGATTGTGATTTAAATGCCACAGTTAGTCCTGATTAAGTTGCCATTTGCATTGGCCACTTTAGGCTTTCCTATCACAATATGCCGACACATAATAGTGATCGAGATTGAAAGCTGCCCGCAACACATTCACTCACTCACTCACTCAATCACATTGGAGAATACGGTGATATGACCACTCCTGAAAAACTTCAAGATGAACTCAGTGCTTCAAGGTTCATACAAGCTGAGTACTGGATTATAAAGGGCACATGAAAACCCATCTTTAAGTGTCAATCTCAAAAAGGCTTTGCATTTGAGTGTTACAAATCTGAAGAACCTTCTTGTTGCTTAATGCACACTTACCAAGAGTTCATCGCTCAGCCTGGGGTTTAATGGCTTATTCAAACAATGGACATGTCAGTACGTCTACAGTAGACAGTTTTAAGAATTCTTAACATGCCCACAATGGCACTGTTTGGTTCGATGTCTGTTAATTGATTTGATAAGAACAAATTTACACACATTTCTGGCCTAAAAAATAAAAAACAATATAAATAACAATACAATCAACATTTTTATTTTGCAATAGTCACATATTTGATATCCTTCCTTTCTTAAAACGTTCGTAAAACAGTATTATTTCAAATATCACAGACACTTTTCAGTTTTATAATAATGTGAATATCAACATCTCAACACCTTTAGGTACCATATATATGTATATTGCCATTATTGTTAATTTTATAACATCATTTACATTCTTCAGGTTCTAGACAGTAATTTCAATATATAGATCAGTTGTGCAAATGTTCAAATTTCAACAATACTGTTCGAAAACAATATTTCTGATGAATTTATAAGAATCACCATTTTTTCTCTTAAGGGTGTATCAGGAATGTTTAAAATGAGGATTGTGATTTGGGACAAGCACGTTCCATTTATATTTCCACGCATTTTAAACATTCGTATTAAAACTAATCCGTTTGACTTAATCAAGTCTGTTTTATCAAACAAATACGACCTTGTGAAGGCGCAGAAAGTTTTGCATGACCAGTTGTCTCCCTTCATTTGAGGAGTTATCTTCCTTTAGTAGCAATCGTAACAATAACTGTTGTTGTAGGTCACGACGTATGCAACGACGATGACGATGATAAGTACTATTGATATGCATCCACAAGCGATGGCCCACAGAGACATGCGTCGTGACTGTGCAGAGAGCAGGATGGAGCCGTTAACGTCGCCTCGGGTCAGGGCGTTACGTGCCTGCAAGGTGAAGGTCAGTCTTACGAGTCAAATAATTTTTGTACTAACATACTTGCCCTTGTAGCGCGTTGTGTAATTGTAACTCTAATCAATTCTAACCCGGATCTTCACGGGTATGGTGAGCCATAAAAGATTATCTGGTAAATATATAACTTACAAAATAATCACTGATCGTCAATAATCGGGCGTGTTTTTGAGACAGCACACAATTAACACCAGAGCCGACTACTTGTCATACTGCCGCTTGTAACTTTGCTTACTCTAATTTCATGGGCGGATCCAGGAATTTTGAAAGGGGGGGTTCAGGGGGTTTGAACCCCCCAATTGGCTCCGCCAACGCAAAATAAATCTTCAATGTGGTCTTAAGTTATTTTCGGGGGGTCGAACCCCCTGAACACCCCTTCTGGATCCGCCAATGAATTTCAACGTCGCCTCACTTGGATCGGACTCAGGGAAGGGTGTCGTTTGGGTCCAAAGGTTTTTATGAACGTAGAATTCGAATTATATATAATGGGTAATAGAGGATTTTGAAGCACTACTGGAATGTTTATCTTGCCTGATTTCAAGTAGCGCCTGCATTGAGTTCGTACAACATGGCGAGCTGACTTTGACAAAGGCTGTCTTAATACACTTCAATATTGAGCAACATGTATGTAAACACCACGAAAGCCCCCAGAATGTTGTGTAAAGCACGTGAAATTGAAACTATAAATCCAGTACCAATATGGATTCCCCGAGCTGACCGAGATGACCGACATGGGAATGAGAAAAGACTAGTGTTCTGGTTATCGCCTCCTGTCGAGACGCCTACATGTATATACATATTTTAATTGCTGTTATTTTTCCAAAAGACGACGGAGGAATTAGGAGTACTTTCGTCAAAGATTCCCCCGCCTTAATATGTTTGTATATGTGTATAGTTTGCACATACAACTATTTACTAAATAACAAGTAGCGTCAGCCATGTTATACTTAGAACAAAAAGGACGCGCTATTATGAATTGACTTGTTTTTCACTCTGGTTTGCGTTCAGACGGAACAAAGTTAAAGAAATGGTCACATGTACGATTCGTCTTCCGTTTTGTGACGGGATGACACGAATCCATTGCTACGTACCTCTGACGCTCTCATGATGGCCACTATGCCCAGTGGCCAGAAGCAGCAGATGGTGGCGAAGATGGCCAGACCCATGTTGTCGGGGGCGTTGGTATGAACAGCACCATAGCCGATGCCGGGTTGGGCCACCTGTATTCAATATAGGCTTCGGTTTTACATGTCTGGCATCGTTATATGATCGTAACATAGGCTGACTTCTAACCTTGTATAAAGAACCAAATGCCGTGGCTATTTCACTATCTCGATGAACCATTAGAGAAGATAAGAGAAGATATGCTATCCGCATCACATTCCTCGCGGAATTTTGGATGTCCTGAAAAAATGTTTTATAATAAAGGTCGGCTATTCTTGTCTGAGAATGTTTTTATCAAGTAACGATAGTGTTATAGACGTGGTAAACCAAATCCGCTAAATGCCGATATGAATTTGAGGTCAACAGCAGTAAGTACCTTGAGTCGACATACAGTGATTCCATGTCTTTTTTCTCTGTAAACTACTAATGTACCAGGACCAAGACCTGCCCTAACCTGGGGTGAGTGAGTGAGTTTAATTTTACGCCGCACTCAGCAATATTCGAGATATATGGCGGCGGTCTGTAAATAATCGAGTCTGGACCAGACAATCCAGTGATCAACATGATGAGCATCGATCTACGCAATTGGGAACCGATGACATGTGTCAACCAAACCAGCGATCCTGATCACCCGATCCCGTTAGAGGCCTCTTACGACAAGCATGGGTGACTGAAGATTAATATTTGAACCCGGACCTTCACGGGTCCTAACCTGGGAGTCCGGGTGGCATATAAGTGTGTAGTTGTGTAGCGTATACCCTGTCACATCATATCATTCCCAGAAAGAGGCGGCTATACTTCCTGGGGACGGGGGGCGGTGGGGTAGTCTAGTGGTTAAAGCGTTGGCTCGTCACGCCGAAGACCCGGGTTCGAATCCCCACATGGGTACAATGAGTGAAGCCCATTTCTGGTGTCCCCCGCCGTGATATTGCTGGAATATTGCTAAAAGCGGCGTGAAACCAAACTCAGTCAGTCAGTCCCGGGGACGGATGACTCGCTGACTACACTACTGCATGTCATCATATCCCAATGGTTTCTATCTATGCTCATGATGTTAATCACTGGATTATCTGGTACAGACCACCGTTATTAGCTGGAATATTGCTGAGTACATGTTTTTCAGATACACAGTAGTGACTTCGAACTGAGTCCTTATTATGTACTACTGTAAGGACTGCGTAATCCGCAAACTGATGCACATCAAATAATGTCTTTCATCTTCAATTTCATTTAAATTACAAATAAACAATTGACCTCTATTGACACCGACATTTTATCTTTCGAAGCAGAATTTGAAACAATATTGTGTCTGTAACAAAAATGTCAACCCCCAACCAACACACACACCCCACCACACCCCACCCACCACCCCCACCCCCAACACACACACACACACACACAATAGTTGGTGGAACATCCGCGTCTCTACTGACCACAACGGTCGACTGTTGCTGCATCCCATACTGCTGTGGCTGCATCCCATACTGCGGTTGCTGCATCCCATACTGCTGTTGCATCCCATACTGCTGTGGTGGTGCTCCGTACTGTGGGGCAGAGTACCCAGGGTTGCTCTGGCCAGGGTAGGTGGTAGAGTAGCTGGGTGGGGGTTCGGAGGGCGGGGTACTACCCTCGGGCATCCCTGAATAAACAAACAACATGTAAAGTCCTTTGTTCTACGACAGCTTTTCGTTCGAGCGCCTATCTTATGTCATCTTAATAGCGCATAATGTGTCATCTAACCGGGGACGGTGGGGTAGCCTAGTGGTTAAAACGTCCGCTCGTCACACTAAGGCACGGGTTCGATTCCCCACATGGGTATTTCTGGTGTTCCTTGCTGTGATATTGCTGGAATATTGCTAAAAGTGGCGTAAAACCATACTCACCCACTCTCACTCTCACTCACTCATTCCAACCTGAGCCAGCAAGAAAGCGGAAGTGTGAAACTAAACAGAAGAAACTATACAAATACAAACACTAAACTGTTATTTAAATCCATGGAAGTCCACTCAGTTCATTTCTGAGCGTTTGATCGGCATTCTAGAATTTGGTGAGTCAAAAATGAAACTTACAACTCTATGGATAACAACTTCTTGTTTGTCACTCTATACAATAAACACGAAGTTATCATCCATAAAGTTGTATGTTTCATTTTCAGTAATGTGGATTGTATGACTAAAATCACTTTGAGACCTTCTTTGAATTAATGTAATATAGATGGAGTTGCTTTGCCTCGGAAATATTTGTTTGAATGTGTTTGGGGTGGTTGGGTAGCGTAGTGGTTAAAAGTTTGGCTTGTCACGGCGAAGGTCAGGGTTCGATCCCACAGAAGGGTAAAATTGGTCAAGCACCAGTGTGATTGATATTGCTGGAATATTGCTAGAAGCGGCGTAAAACCATACTCACTCACTCTGTTTATTACCTGTCGCCGTTCAATTCATCCAATCTCTTTTCTGTTGTTTTTATAATTCTTAATATTATTTACAATAATATTCTACCTTTGAGTCCGGTTTTCGATTGTGAAATGGCCTCTACACTAGAAGTATTCCTACATATTTTGTAAGTATATAATTCTGAAAGTCACCCACTGGTCATACTATAGGTACATAGTAACAACGTCTTAGATTGCTTGTGTCATGATGACCTTAGACCGGCGTGCATGATCCCAAGGCCAAAAGTAGAACAGCTCGATAACTGTCTCGTCTCAGATTTCAGTTTCGGAGGTACATTGGCATTGTGCTGTGATGTGTTTCATTAAACCGTGTCTTATTGGCAAGGCTCAAATAATTATTCAATGATGATTTTTATGGAGTGAGTGAGTTTTGTTTTACGCTGCTTTTAGCAATATTCCAGCAATATCACGGCGGGGGACACCAGAAATGGGCTTCACACAGTGTACCCATATGGGGAATCGAACCCGGGTCTTTGGCGTGACGAGCGCACGCTTAAACCTCTAGGCTACCCCACTGCGACGTTTTTTATGGAGAAACATGAACAATGTGAATGCCCCCCCCCCCTCAAATTTATGTACAAAGTAAGTGACCCCCCTGCATGTCATATACAAAGTCAATGCCCCCCTTAATTTCTAAGCTTATTTTAAAAATATTTTCATGTACAAAATATAAAATTGATGAGACCCCTACCTCCCCAGTAAAAAATGGGTGTCCCCCTCAAAATCAACAACTCCTCTCTAGCCATAAGTTATGAACGTTGCCTTACAAATGACAGTAATATTTAGGTATCACACACTAACCTGGAACAGGAGAATTAATTTTATCAATGCGATGCAAAGATCTTTTATCAGAAATCGATATTTTTTCCAAAAGATTGTTTAATTATAGATTATACAACCATGAAAAGCTCTGAAGCCTTCCACAAAAGGCCAGCAGGTAAGGTGTGCTTCACACTCGCCGTCAAATGGGCCTCGTTGGACGGATGCGTCATGGCTAATATATTTATTTCTGTACAGATACGTCTATACATGACCAAAAAACACCTATATGCCTTTGAAAAAATGTTACTGCAATAAATATTCTCCTTGAATAGTTTTAAGATTTACTACTGAATTCAGATATAGGGTTCTCGTGATTTCATTGCAGTCCGATCCTTAGGAGACAGCACGTCTCAAATGTCTCAAGTTGGTGCACTGACTTGACGCCCCAAGACAAAATTAATGTTATTGTAACTATCGGACGATAAATTTTCAGCGACATTCCAGGGTGACCTTAATCTACTAATCCTCGCTGTAGCTGCAATACAGTAGTAGATAACAACCTCGTTATAACGTTCATATTCGCCTTCTATACAGCACAGGTGAGGTGGGCAGCCTAGTGGTTGAAGCGTTCGTTTGTCACACCGAAGACCCGGGTTCGATTCCCCATATGGGTACAATGCGTGAGGCCCATTTCTGATGTTTCCCGCCGTGATTGTGCTGGAATATTGCTAAAATATACACTGGTATCAGACACAGCGACACTGGGATGAGACACAGCGACACTGGGGTCAGACACAGCAACACTGAGATCAGACACAGCGACATTGGGATCAGACACAGACACACAGCGACACTGGGATCAGACTAAGCGACACTGGGATCAGACACAGGGACACAGCAACACTGGGATTAGACAAAGTAACATTGGGATCAGACACAGCAACATTGGGATCAAACACAGCAACATTGGGATCAAACACAGCGACATTGGGATTAGACACAGCGACACTGGGATCAAACACAGCAACATTGGGATCAGACACAGCAACATTGGGATCAGACACAGCGACATTGGGATCAAACACAGCGACATTGGGATCAGACACAGCAACAATGGGATCAAACACAGCGACATTGGGATCAAACACAGCGACATTGGGATCAGACACAGCAACAATGGGATCAAACACAGCGACATTGGGATTAGACACAGCGACACTGGGATCAAACACAGCAACATTGGGATCAGACATAGCAACAATGGGATCAAACACAGCGACATTGGGATCAAACACAGCGACATTGGGATCAGACACAGCGACAGTGGGATCAGACACAGCAACATTGTGATCAAACACAGCAACATTAGGATCAGACACAGCAACATTTGGATCAGACACAGCGACATTGGGATCAGACACAGCGACATTGGGATCAGACACAGCAACATTGGGATCAAACACAGCAACATTAGGATCAGACACAGCAACAATGGGATCAAACACAGCGACATTGGGATCAGACACAGCGACAGTGGGATCAGACACAGTGTCATTGGGATCAGACACAGTGACATTGGGATCAGACACAGCTACATTGGGATCAGACACAGCGACAATGGGATCAGACACAGCGACATTGGGATCAGACACAGTGACATTGGTGTCAGACACAGACACACTGGTGTCAGACACAGGGATATTGGTGTCAGACACACCGACATTGGGGTCAGACAAACCGACATTGGGATCAGACACAGTGACATTGGTGTCAGACACAGCGACATTGGGATCAGACACAGACACACTGGTGTCAGAAACACCGACGTTTAGTTGAGAGTTTTACCTCATAATAAGAAACCAAATTAGGAAGACCTTTAGTTGTCATCGATATGTATATCCTACATTAAACCGTATCTTAATTTTATATATTGTCGTATTGATATGTGTATTTTAAATTATTTATTGTGGCGTAACCAATGTTCCACAAATATGACGATGGGCTGTACATTATCGAGCCAGGGTGCCGTTGTACAAAACAACCTTAGCTCTAAGGTTACCTTAATTCTGTGTTAAGGTATGGGAGTTACGGTCACCTTAGCGCTAAGATTGTTTTTTACAACGGCACCCTGGACCACACAAACCAAGATTAACCTTAAATACTCTATGTGGGATTCGGGTTGGTAATTAGGGACCCAGCAGTGGAAGCAAGTATTATCATCTTTCATATGCAGATTTTACATTTAATACAATAATAGTGTACGTTAAAATATCCCTTGAATATCCTTTTGTCGGTAAATTAGTTTCAAACCAAACTTCCGTTTTGTTGATATTTTTGTTTTTAGGATTCTGGATTCAGCAATGCTATTGAAAGTGAAAAAAAACACCTTTCATCGGAAATTATTGTAAGTAATATCCTGTGTTAAGAATGTGGGTTTTAATTAAATTTTGATTTAGTTTCCAATGTACAGCACCATAACAGAGGACGTTACTGTCAACCAATATCTACCTTTTCACATTAAATGTCAAAAATCAGTTTCATCATACAACCCCACCCAGTACTACCCACACAACTACCCGCTAACCAAAAACAATATTCGTTCAGTCGCTGAATTAATTTCTTTTAAAATAACCAGTTCGTGTATTCGGAAACATATCTCAGACCATACCAAGCCGCCATATTGGAAATGTAACGACATTTTGGAGAGCAAACAGCTCACTCTCGCGGGCTAATAAGGGTGGGTTTTAAAGTTTGAACATAATTATAAAATAAATAATAATAACGGTGTCTTATTAAACTATATTACCTGTTTTCTCGCTCATGTCCTCTAGTGTAGGGTTCTGCGTTAACAATGAATATATTGGTAAATCCTCCCGAAAATGTCGAAACGATGACCTCACCCCGTGTGTTATCAGTTGTCACGTGACATAAACTCGGCCTTTAAGCAAGAAGGAATACTACCACAGGGGTGGGCACGCTGTTGTCGTTACTGTTGACGTCAGAAAAACGAGCCAAGTTAATACCCGGTGTCCTCCCATTACGCAGACAGCCAGTTCGCAGACACCTTAAAACAACAACATTTACGGTTCAGTGAACAGATTATCTACTACCTGTTACCTACACATTATAATAGAATAGTCCAAATAAAAACACAGGAACAAACTGAAGCTACATTATTTATTTTGAAAGATGGACGAAGAGACAGTAATTTGAATATTTATTGCGGCAATATAAAAACAGTTTATTTTCATAAACATTTCGGTTTAACCTTCTAGTCTAACGGGAGTCGGCATCATAATATTGAAAACATCAGCTTAGCTATTAGAAATTGCGACACTGTTGTATCATATAAATCAAATAAAGACAAATGTGAACCTAAATATTATTCATATGGAATAAAGAAGTTATATGTTTTGCACACAATATTAAGATATATGACGAGTGCACTTAATTACGATTTATTTAGAATAAATATTCAAAATATGACGCATCATGTCAATGTGGCCATGGGTGTCAGAATGTTTTTCATTACTTCGAACGCCACTCTCAGCAATATTCCAGCAACATGACTACAGCCTCTAAATTATCGTTTTTACCAGACAATCCAGTGATTGATATCATGAGCAAAGATTGATATTGTACGATGCAGGCAATGGCGTTAAAGAGGTTGGCCTCCCGCCCATTAATTCGCTTCTTGCGACCATCGTATATGTTGCTGGGTACCATTTCTTACCCGGAATCTGTTTGGACAGGGCTAGGTAATTTACACTACAAGAAACACGTGGGGATGCGGGTTAGAGTTATCTTCAGTAACCCATGCTTCTCGTTAGAGACGACTAGCGGGATCGGGTGATCAGGCTCGCTGTCTTGTTCGACAGATGTCATCGTATCCCAAGTGCGTAGATCGATGCTCATGCTGGTGATCACTGGATTGTCTGGTCCAGACTCGATTATTTACAGACCGTCGCCATATAGCTGGAATATTGCTGAGTGCGGCGTTAAACTAAACTCACTCACTCAATCACTCATTACAAGAAGTTGTCCTTGAAGAATCCCGTGAACAGGGCAGCAGCTGGTAAAAGTCGCTATCCTCGCGATACAGACTCGTGAAGACCCGGGTTAGAACTAGTCAGAAGCAAACCATGCGCATGCGCCTTTTATGACAAGCTTGTCATTCGCTTAAAATGATCGTGTTATAACGCATGTCATGGTCTGTGTTCCAGACCCGATTATTTCAACACATGTGCCAACTCTCACGCACATGGCTTGAGACTCGCGCTTTTACATCTCATGTCACGCTCTCATGCTGATGTTGTGAATGATTTATTCAAGAAAATGAAACCATTTTAAGATATTTAGCTATTTTCCTCACCATGCACGTTTTGACCACTTAAAACCACACAAATTGTTCTTAATACATGTTTTCAATGACTTTACTGAGAAGGGAATTCGCCCTTCCCCACCAGGGACCTGGCTAGCTATTCTCGAAACGTTCGTAGCCCTACGAACTTCTTCAGCCCATTCTTAAAACATTGGCTACGATCAAAGTTAAGAATTTTTAGGGCTACGAACGTTTCGAGAATAAGGCCCCAGCTATCGTAGCGCTACGACTGTCGTACCTTCTACTATGCCCCTATTCCACACAGACCACGAATCCCACGAATCGCCACGAATTGATAAATTTGAGGATTCGTGAGAATTCGTGCTGATTCGTGGAATTGTACAACTTTTCTGCGTCCATTCGTGACGCTCTACGATTCATTTACGATACAGGTACGAATATTCGTGGGATTCGGATGGAATCGCACGAATATTGTCAAGAATTCACTACGATTTAAAAGAATCTATTATGGATACTGCCCGAATATTAGGAATCAGTTACGAATCAGTTAAGAATAGGCCGAATGCACGTACGAATCAGGTACGAATAAATGAATTCGGGACTACTCTGGACAATTCGTGGGAGATAGGTATAAAAGGGTCGTCACCCTTGTTTGGGTATCAGTTGCAAAATGGATGTTCAACGTAGAGCAGCTGTCGTATTGACCCTGGAACTGGAGTATCAACACCAGCTGCTGATCACTATCAGAAGACTGTTTCGAAGGAGGAGGAGAAGAGCACCCAGGTGGTGGGTTAGACCGTGGCTGACACCAGATAGAAGACTAGAATATAGTCACTACAACAGACTGATGCAAGAGCTGAGGATGGAAGATGAGAAGGCATTTGCCAACTATGTGAGAATGCCACCCCACATGTTTGATGAGCTCCTCAACAGGATTATCCCAGTCATCCAGAGGAGGGACACCCACAGGGAGACCAGCCCTAGATGCCCTAGAATGAAGCTAGCCATGACTCTCAGACACCTGGCTACAGGAGACCGGTATCACACCATCCAGTATGACTTCCGGTGTGGCTACAGCACAGTGGTATGGATTGTGCAGGAAGTCTGTCAGGCCATCATACAGGAGCTGAAGGATGAAGTCATGCTACTGCCAAGGACCCAGGAGGACTGTAAAGACATTGCCCAGCAGTTCCAAGACCGGTGGAATGTTCCTCATGCCCTGGGGGCCTTGGATGGCAAGCACATAGCCATCAGGAAACCACACAACTCAGGCAGTGTGTTCTTCAACTACAAAGGTTTTTTCTCCGTAGTGCTGTTGGCCCTGGTGGATGCGGACTATTAATTCATCTGGATAGACACTGGTGGAGAAGGTCATCAATCCGACGCACAGCTGTTTGGTGCTTTAGAACTGAAAGAGTGCATTGGTGACAACACCATAAACTTCCCTGACAGCGATCGCCTGCCCAATGATGACAGAGACACAGCCTACTACATCCTGGGGGATGATGCTTTTCCTCTGAGGACTTTTCTCATGAAACCCTATGGCAGGAGGGGTCTGGACAATGACATGCTGGTGGCCAACTACAGATTATCCAGGGGCAGACGTGTGGTAGAGAATGGTTTCGGAATACTGGCCAACAGATGGAGATGCTTCCTGGGCACCCTGGAACATGGACCTGATGTGGTGCGGCTACTGGTGGAGGCAGGAGTCATCCTCCACAACTTACTGAGGATCAGATTCCCTGCTACTGGCAATGCAGATGTGGACCGGGAGGATGAGGACCACACCAATATCCCTGGTGCCTGGAGGGCAGACCAACAGGTGGAGGAGATACCCCAGTTCTAGGCACCCAACAGAGACAATCGTGAGGGCAAAGTGATAAGAGACTATCTTAAGGCCTACTTTAACAGTGAAGCAGGTTCAGTTCCGTGGCAAGAAAGACAGGCAGGAGTGAATGGTAACTGAATGATAAATGTTGATATTTCATGCTAAAATTATGTTAATAGTGTTTATTAATGCTCATTAGCGCTGATAAAATGTTTATGAAAACAAGAGACCCAAGAGGGCTTGTATTGCTCTACTGACTACTGGCACAACAGCTCCCTCCTTCACTATATTTAAATTTCTGCTTTATGTCATGAATGTTTTGTTTTTGCAATGTTCACATTGCCCCAATCCATCTGTCAATATCTCTGCTCGGACCACGCAAACAAAAACAAACTTTATTCTTTTTTAGATCTTTTTTCAAGTTTTATTGGTATTATATGAAACTGAAAGATAGAAATGCTTATCTAAGTACATTCATATCATAATCATATCATATCAAACCAAAACATAAACTCTTTGAGAGGAATTTTTAGACATAAACATTTCACTAAGAGCACCCAGCTAAAAGCGCACAGTCTAAGATGTACACAGCTAAACACACAGTCTATGGAGTGGAGAGTGTGGACCTGTCAAGCTGAGCGGTTGCCGTCGAGGTCTGTGTGACCCGAGTGGCAACTGCTGTGGGGCTGATGTCCATCAGTATCTCAGACAGGTTGAATGACGCTTCCTGCTGATGCTCCGAGGCACTGGAGGACGACCGGGTCTGCTGGCTCTGGGCAGGAGGCACCAGGTTGGTGTAGGTAGCTGTCTGTGATGACCTTTGACGGGGCAGTTCCTGTTGGCTTGGAGACTAGCTGTATCCTGGGAACTGCCTGTCGACCCAGGTTGGCTCCTGTGAGTGTCACACCGACCCCGCTGGGGCCACCGGTCTGGACTGCCACTGCGAGGGGTCTCGCTGCCACTGCTGGTACAGTTGAGGAGGTGCTGGTGCTGATCTTCCTGCTTCCAGATCTGTCTGCTTCTCAGCGTTGAACAGGTCAAACTCGTGGTGGTCACTGGATACTGTGGCTCCTCTTCCTGGAACTCATCACACTGGCTGGTGGTGGTGCCACTCCGGAAGCTATGCGTTGGGTGACATGTCCGATGTGGGGCATCAGGAACTGGAATCTGGTCCATATCCACTGTTGGCGGTCTGTCATCTCAAAAGATGCCTGACCACTCTTCTTCCTCCTGAGTTTCCCTATCTGGTACGGATGCTCTCAAAAAATGTAGTCAATGCCTTCATCTCCTTCCCCATCTCCTGGGCCAGATCTTCCCACGCCTTATTCATTTTAGAGACACAGAGGTGGTCTAACCGCCTCTTGTTGTAGATGAAGACATTCCTCTCAAGGAAGAGGGCCACATCCTCTTGTTCGTCCTCTGTGAGGTTGGACAAGAACCTGACTTTCTTACTCTTATACTGGGAAGAAGCTGCTAGTTCATCATCATCACCAACATCACCAGCCACTGACTCAACACCTACTGACTGAGCTGCTGAATCTGCCACATTGTTTTCAACTTCTGGAGCTGCTGAATCTTCCAGTGGAGGGGTAGCTACTTTTGTGGGGGTTGGGGGTGAGGTGCTGCCTTCTTCACCCTCTTCCCTGGCTCTCTTGCTTTTCTTCCCTCTCCCCTTGCCCTTACTTGCAGCTTTTCTTGGTATCTTGCTAATACGTGGATACGTGGCACAATCGTCAGCAGCTAATGACCGGAAGTGAATGTTAAACTCCTTATATACCCAATTTACTGTCGTAGCTGATTCGTAGGTAGTTCTTACTTGCTTCGTAACTGCTTCGGCGTGAATTTGTGGGATTCCTGACAGATTCGTAGCCGATTCGTTGTCAAACCACGAACTGACGAATACACGAATGAGTTAAGAATACCTAAGAATTGATTACGATTTGGTTACGATGCCTAAGAATGCACTACGAATCTGTTACGAATTAACTACGATTAATTTTAATCGGGAGTGCGTGGCCAAAATTTTGAACAGTTCAAAACTTTGGCCACGAATTCCCGATTACTCAAGAACTGCAAGAACTGACAACGACTATATTACGAATTAGTTAAGAACTTCACGAACTGATTACGATTCAACTACGAATACTCAAATTTGTCAATTCGTGGCAATTCGTGGGATTCGTGGTCTGTGTGGAATAGGGGCCTGGGCCTGGATGTTCGAAGCTGTCTTAGCGCTAAGATGGTCCTAAGTTAAGGTTAATGTGTGGCACTTACGACTGTCTTAGCGCTAAGAGAGCCTCGAAAATCTAGGCCCTATAACATAGATTTACGACTGTCGTAGCGCTACGATAGTTTTGTGAAACGGGGCTAAGATCCCCAGATTGGCCCGACCGGGGCATGCTGGCTAGGACCCCGCATCTCAAGCCTTTTTCCTCTCTTGGGGTTACAGCTCTGATTACAAAGCAACCTAATACAGCTTGAATGTTGAGAGATGTCACGTGAGAAATGCCAAATGAATTTTAGTGATACGATGTTTGATTGTTGAGCGTAATTATATGGTTTAAATATTCCAGGTTCACCTTTACCCGGAAAAAACTATAATTCATCTGGTATGGGAGCAGTATCACAATACGCCTGGTGACTAGTCTGGCTTCATGCAAACGGTAATATTGAGATACACTGGTATGACGTAAGGTTTGGTCGGTCATATATCACATGATAGCGTCCAAGATAAAGAAGCTGTAACACAGCTGATACAACCATTTCGACGCCCACTGTCACAGCAGCTACAACCACGCCATTATGAAACTACGCGTCTCTTTCTGTACCCTGTTTGGAATCTATTTGTCCACGGTCTGTTTGAAAACAGCCACAGGTGGGTAGTAGTGTTCGTCAATAACTATACTGATTATAACGCCATCATGCTTCGTTATGATACTTTTGTTTTGAGTCCAATTGCAGGACTTTATACTTGTTTGTCCAATCAAATTGATCTCATGACCGGGAAGTATTGTTAGAGATGGTAAATATATAGATGGTGACGCCACTTCTGGAACGAAGCTATCGTTGGTATTTAGCTTTTGAATAAAGTGCGTTGTCAAGAAGAAGAAGCCAATTTAATAAATCAAACAAGCAGATCATCTTAACTTAACTTTTCTAATCATAAAATGTAATCATAAAAGTCGCCCTGCCTCATGGAGCTGATCCCATCACATAAGTCATGTGTCCGATAGCAGTCTCCCTGGTTCTCTGTATTACGTCGCGTCTCTTTTGGGCGTCTTCTAATATGTCGATCAAAGGGTACAGTATGGGACATGTATCAGTTATCTGCATCTCTGGACAGCAAATTGCCCGGGGTAACGTGTTGACATTTAGGATCTTTTTCTGGACTTTGTTTTTACATGACACAGGATGTCCACGTCCCGAGAATACCCCAGTGGGTGGGTGATGTATGTGCGCTCTTGAGGTTTTGACACAAAATCTGCAGTAAGGGGCACACGATGAACCGTAATACCAACTCGGTGACGTTTATCTGTGAGATCAGCGTTTGGTCTTTTATCACCACAATTCCAGGCCCGAACCATTATCCTGCCACCCCCAGTACAGTGTCCAGGTACACGGTCCAAAAAGTGATCGCAGGGATACGACGATCTAACTCACTTCCTAGTAGACTTACGACAGCCGTTGCGCTACGATCGCTTTGTGGCACATAGTCGAGTGCCCCGGCCCACAAAACGATGCAGAGTCATCGTAAGCTTACGTTAAAGTGCGTGAGTTACGATTGTGCGTGAGTTACGATTGTGCTTGAGTTACGATTGTGCGTGAGTTACGATTAGCACTCAAGGCTGCTTTGCGGAACATATCAAGGATACGGTAAGTGTGTGATTGGCATTCTAGGAGTGGTGAGTAAATGAGAAAACGTACACCTTTTGGAGATTTGTTTAACAGCTTGCACCGTTTCGATGTAAGTTCGTACAACGTTATCAAGCTGCAGTGATTTCCACTAAGATATGAAAGGTTTCATTTGTTATCCGCATCAAACAGCTTATGACATTAACAGTCTAACCAGACAACAATTCAGCAATCACAGATCACCAGAAAACGTTCCCTAACGTGAAAATTCAGTTTGACAGTCTATATCGTAACTTGAGGCAAACATCAGGACTTCACTAAAAGAAAGCTCTGAGAAGCTATAGGGCCCGTAAGAAGGTCACGGTATTTCGCGAGACCTCACGTTGATTAGTGAACATTTCATACCTTTGCGAATGGTCTCATGGCTGTCAGCTGACAGAAAGGAACCGATAATCCTTGCAGAAACAACAAAATTCCGATCTAACAATCCAATTATTACGACTGTCAACAGCTGTGACAGTCAAGTATGGTTGTACACATTTGTTCCGGTCCAGTAAAGTCATATTGGCGGTTGCGCAATTTGGAACCAGAACTGGTTCTTTAATATACCCTTGTCACCGGAAATCTGGTACCGGAAGTAAAGCTGGGCCCCATATCGTATATCGCAAAAGGAGCCGGGAACCAGCTTAGTACCGGAAGTAGCGCCTCGCGAGACTTGCATGTGCAGGCCTTATAGAAATCCCCTGTCACAAACCTTTGATCAGTACAGAGTTTAAGAGAATTACTTCTCGTCTGCCTATGAATATCTAATCAAGTAATAGGCTGTTTCAATAAGCATCCATCTAGCCCGTCACACGCTTTTCATCCTTGCAGTCCCGATCTTTACTTCATCCATCCATCCGTATGTTTTGTCGATATGGTGCTTTTTTATTCACATATCAGGCTCGTCTCTTGATTGTAGACACTCCAGCTTGGTAACTGTGTAGGAAGTTAGACCGAAACGTCGCTATATGCAACGAACCAGAAGTTTATAACTATGAAGTTGGACGTTATCTTGTGTATGCACCTACCCTTACCCAGATCCATTCTGCCTGCATCCGCCCACGAGAGAGCCTTGGACTTGCCAACATGATGCCCTTTAGAAATATTGTGGTCCGATTCGCCAGGTTGTCTGGATACAATGAAACGGCGCATAACCTGTGCCGGGGAAGTAGGTAACTTAACAGTCGACATGGTGATCATAACACCCATACTTTAACACAGGCTTACGATCGTCGTAGCGCCAAGATTGCTGTCAGATTGCCTTGAACCACCGCTCCCCACACCACAACGATTCCTCCACCAAATCTGTCCACTTGTCTAACGCAGTTGTCTGCCACCCTCTCCATGGTGACAAGTGCAACGAATGTGGTGAGCGACGCTTTCATGTCTGCATCTTGCAGCAGCACACCAACGACCTCATCTCTCAGTCGATAAACGTGGCACGTTACTCTGGATCTCAGGATTCATTACGCACTGACGTTATTGTGAGCTGTGGGTATGCCCGAATGCATCTTGTGTTCCTTCAGCACGTGTAGTTCGCCAGCCTAGCGAATAATGCCCATATTGCACCGAATTCAGGAAACTAAATCCATATTCTCATTTTCTTCATTGCGGATTGTTGCATTTCAGTTATTCCTCTTACATGAATTTGGAATCTTCTAATATATTTGGGGCAATGGGGTAGCCTAGTGGTTAAAGCGTTCGTTCATCGCGCAGAAGACCCGGGTTCGATTCCCTACATGAGTACAATGTGTAAAGCCCATTTCTGAGGTCTCCCGCCGTGATATTGCTGGAATAATGCTAAAAGCAGTGTAAAACTCACTCACTCACTCATTCTAATATATTTGATTTTGGAATTATATCTGTTAGGACTCAGTATTGCTGTATACTGTGGTGACGTATATTGTGAGTAAGAAACTATGATGTTTGTCAACAATTGTCCTGCCTTTGCATGGGTTTGTGACGGTGCCACTGCTGCTCACTGTTTCGCGACCATTTGGTTTCATCACTGTTCATATACTATTCACACTTTGCTAAGGATCAAATGATGGATTCAACAGAAAACTATTATGTGGGGTCAAAGCTGGTTTAAATACCTAAGTTTATTGAAAGCATGGAACCTAGGTTTCAGTAAGTCATTGCATCCTGTGGATCTAATACCTGCTATGACATGTGCTCTTTATTTGTCAATGACTCGTTCCATGATTTGCAAAATGGTTGAATGGTGCCATGAAATCCATTTATATGGTTACTAGTGTATCAAGTGCATAAGGTTAGCTTAAAGTGACTATTTGAGTAATGAGGGATTACCATATTATTATTTATCCAGTTTTAAATGGACACAATTTCAAGTTATAAATCTACGTTTAAGTAAAGTTGTGAATTTTTGTGGTCCTTAGCAAAGTGTGAGTAGTATACATAGAAGACTGACACAGTCGGAGTGGTATCATGAAGTCGGGTTTTTCCATTATGGAAATGGAGTTGTCGCTTATGTTTACTTGTTAACAACGGTGTATCTTGCTTGGTTAGCCTCGTTTTAAAACTCATTTCCTAATCTGTAGCCCGGAAATTGACCGGGTTATTGGTAAAATGAGCCATAGTATTCACCATTAATAGAATGGACATATAATATCCTGCATTACCGAAGATGCTATAAATAAAGAGGGTGTTAAGTGTTTCCGGGCCTATTGTGTGTCGTCGCATATTGTGATGGCGCATAGGATGTCGGTCTCTCAGCATGACAGAGCTCAGAGGAGAAGTGATCGCAGTCGGGTTGTACTTGAATACTAACAGCCATGGTCCCGCTCCATAAAAAGAACTTTGCCCTACGATTGTCGTTAGCTTATGATAAAGTATGGGAGTTATCCTAGTGGTACGAACACAGTGTGGTACAGGAAACAAATCTACACGTGTGTGTGTGTGTGTGTGTTTGCGTGTGTAAATTGTAAACATCGCGTCTTTTAGAGAACTCCAGTAATCGATATTATGATCAGCAATCCACGCGTGTTAGTTCGATGACAAGCCATCAACCAAGTCCCCGAGTCTGTCTACCAGATCTATTATGTCACCTGCACAGGTTCTGATACGGTCATGTTATGACTCGAAACATAACCAGGGCCACAGCTGGGAGTCATAGTTGATATAATTATAATCAGTTGAGTTGTTCAACAAAGGCGTCTTTCATGCCTATTCACACATAGTCTGTTACCTATTCACACAGTCTGTTACCTATTCACACCTAGTCTGTTACCTATTCACACAAAGTCTGTTACCTACTCACACATAGCCTGTTACCTATTCACACACACTGTTACGTATTCATACATAGTCTGTTACCTATTCATTCGTACCTATTCACACTAGTTGCCTACTCACAAGAAGTTAGTCTGTTACCTACTCACACACACTGTTACCTATTCACACCTAGTCTGTTACCTATTCACACATAGTCTGTTACCTATTCACACATAGCCTGTTACCTATTCACACACACTGTAACGTATTCATACATAGTCTGTTACCTATTCACACATAGTCTGTTACCTATTCACACATAGTCTGTTACCTATTCACACACTGTTACCTATTCACACACACTGTTACGTATTCACACATAGTCTGTTACCTATTCACACATAGTCTGTTACCTACTCACACATAGTCTGTTACCTATTCACACATAGTCTGTTACCTACTCACACATAGTCTGTTACCTACACATAGTCTGTTACCTACTCACACATAGTCTGTTACCTACTCACACATAGTCTGTTACCTATTCACACATAGTCTGTTACCTATTCACACATAGTCTGTTACCTATTCACACATAGTCTGTTACCTATTCAGGACAGCTACCTTGTGCCACATCTCTGTCATGCAACTTTGACGACGACATGTGCGGCTTTACCTCCAAAAATGTGACGGGATCGGGGTTTCTGACGTGGAGAAACGATCTACAGTTTGGTGGAATCAATGGATCTTCAGGTCAGTGGAAACGATATAGTGTGACGTCTTATTTTGCTACAATTTATCATAAAATAAGATCAAGCAAAAATGATGCCTTTAAACTTATCTGGAATATGCCCATATACTGTCCAAGAAAACACACCACCAACCAACCATATCTTGTCCGTTTTGATAAAGCCAATGAAACGATTTGTGTTATTTAATTTTATGTCCCTTTGAACAGTAATGTGATTGATAAGATGCAGGAAAAACATGGCAAGTTATGGTATCTCGTTTACTAAATATCACACTTGTATTCCAAGTACCAAATTGTCCGACTGCCCATTGTTCTTGGCACTTCCTAATCTCTTGGATAACATTAGGAGAGTACCCGTGGTTTACTGCCAGGACAAGTGAGCTGAATATGAGCCTAACATGAATGACTGTGCCAAGATCACCCAAATCTTCTTTGTTGTATTTATATATTGTAACATGTAAATATCCCGTATCCTATTCATGCATTTTGGAATTGTCGTCATTCCCATTATTTCTGAAAATATTCATTTGACTTTGACATTGTCATGAGTGTATGAGAATAATAGCAAATATGAATTCAAAACCAACATGAAAGAAGTATTTTGCGTGTGTTGACAGGGAGTTTCGTTCACCTGACAACTACCAGTATGCTGACAAAGGACGGCGAAACGACAGACTTGGTCAGCCCCCCTACTCTGCAACGGGACTGTAATGCTGTATTTTGAATACGTGCTGCGGGCACCAACTTCAGACACTCTGGACATCTTAGTTGCGACGTTGGAAGGGACATCTAAAGTCATCTCCTTGCCTTCGACACGAGGTTGGACAGCCACAAACGTAACCCTGCAAGCAGCAGGTGATTATCAGGTATGCAATCGTGGAAAGGGTATTTTCATAGTTAATCCGTCTTAATGAAGCAACAATGCTGTGGTGTCTTGGCGTCATGCTTTACCAAGCATTGCCACAATTCTAGACAATAAATATGTCAGTTCTAAACAACAATATTAAACAGTTTGCTTTCTGGGTTTGCCGACTGTTATGACTTCATATGACGTCCTAAACACGTCAGATCAGTCTCAACACTAAAGAACACTTACTGTAGTCCGTATCGCACACTGACGACCAACCGCCGACCCACACCTGTTACTTAATCCACTGTCAACCAACCGCTGGTACACTGTCATCCCACACTGTATACTTGTTAATCCAATGTCGACCAACCACTGGTACACCGTCAACCCACACCCTATACTTGTTAATCCACTGTCAAATGCCGATGCTTGTTAATCCACTGTTGACCAACTGCCGATGCTCTGTTGATCTACTGTCAAATGTCCATGCTCTGTCGATCCACTGTCGACCAACTGCCGATGCTCTGTTGATCCACTGTCAAATGTCCATGTTTTGCCGATCCACTGTCGACCAACTGCCTGTGCTCTGTTGATCCACTGTCGACCAACTGCCTATGCTCTGTTGATCCACTGTCGACCAACTGCCGATGCTCCGTAGATCCAATGTCGACCAACTGCCTATGCTCTGTTGATCCACTGTCGACCAACTGCCGATGCTCCGTAGATCCACTGTCGACCAACTGCCTATTTCCTTTGATCCACTGTCGACCAACTGCCGATGCTCTGTAGATCCACTGTCGACCAACTGCCTATTTCCTTTGATCCACTGTCGACCAACTGCCGATGCTCTGTAGATCCACTGTCGACCAACTGCCGATGCTCTATTGATCCACTGTCGGCCAACTGCCGATGCTCTGTAGATCCACTTTCGACCAACTGCCTATGCTCTGTTGATCCACTGTCGATCAACTGCCGATGCTCTGTAAATTCACTGTCAATCCATTGCCGATTAGTAATGAGCCGCGGTCCATAAGCTAGAATGACAACGTGAGCCCTCCTAGAAATAATCTTCTCAGTTAAGCTAACTGAAACGAATATATCTTTGCGGAATGCTTACAAAATATTTGTATCTGTAATAATTCCTTTCACAACGGAAGTGTGTTTATGTATTTGCAGATAATCTTTAGGGGCACACGTGACCACTATGGATCAATTGCTGCTGTAGACAACGTGCGTGGATGTGAGTATATCCAGGATTCCCTCCTCAAATCTGCTCCTCATTGACTCAGGTAATGGGGTTTCCACTGTAATGTTGACTGCTCACAGGGTATTGGTGTTTCGCCTGTTTCATATTTAGATGTACACAAAAAGATTCTGAGAGACAACAACAAATTCCACAAGACTGTGTAACTAAAGGGATAACATCTATGTTCCAACTTTAGCTTGGGTCAAACAAAATCCCAGCATTTAAACCCCTTCAGTGACTACATTTCACGAACTTTTGGGATGCAGATTATTGTTAGAAAGAGCATCTTATGACTCTTGTTCTGAGGCTGTTTTCTCAAGGTGACAACATTCAAGGCTTCAATCAATCAAACTTTCAAAACGTAGCCTAATACGGTAGATATAATGAGGACGTTTCCAAAGTTTTCAGAATTATTGTACACAAATGTCCTTTGTCTGGACAGGACAATATGGAACTCTTCTATACACACACCATAAGTGTTTCAAAACAATGTTTGTTACCACCAAAATACCCAAAACCAAAAGCTTTGATTGTTTTCTTTACAGATTCGGTTAAACCAACAGCATCAAAACTAGCTATGTACAAATCAGCTACACACAAATCAACTTCACCTAAACCAACTACAGACACGACAACTACACCCAAACCAACTACAGACACGACAACTACACCTAACCCAACTACAGACACGACAACTACACCTAACCCAACTACAGACACGACAACTACACCTAACCCAACTACAGACACGGCAACTACACCTAACCCAACTACAGACACGGCAACTACACCTGACCCAACTACAGACACGGCAACTATACCCAAACCAACTATAGACACGACAACTATACCCAAACCAACTACAGACACGGCAACTATACCCAAACCAACTACAGACACGGCAACTATACCCAAACCAACTACAGACACGGCAACTATACCCAAACCAACTACAGACACGGCAACTATACCCAAACCAACTACAGACACGGCAACTATACCCAAACCAACTACAGACACGACAACTACACCTAACCCAACTACAGACACGGCAACTACACCTAACCCAACTACAGACACGACAACTTCACCTAACCCAACTACAGACACGACAACTACACCTAACCCAACTACAGACACGACAACTACACCTAACCCAACTACAGACACGACAACTACACCTAACTACAGACGACAACTACACCTAACCCAACTACAGACACGACAACTACACCTAACCCAACTACAGACACGACAACTACACCTAACCCAACTACAGACACGACAACTACACCTAACCCAACTACAGACACGACAACTACACCTAACCCAACTACAGACACGACAACTACACCTAACCCAACTACAGACACGGCAACTATACCTAACCCAACTACAGACACGGCAGCTATACCTACCCAACCAACTACAGACACGACAACTATACCCAACTACAGACACGGCAACTATACCTAACCCAACTACAGACACGACAACTACACCTAACCCAACTACAGACACGGCAACTACACCTAACCCAACTACAGACACGGCAACTATACCCAACCCAACTACAGACACGGCAACTACACCTAACCCAACTACAGACACGGCAACTATACCCAAACCAACTACAGACACGGCAACTATACCTAACCCAACTACAGACACGACAACTACACCTAACCCAACTACAGACACGGCAACTATACCTACAGACACCAACTACAGACACGGCAACTACACCTAACCCAACTACAGACACGGCAACTATACCTAACCCAACTACAGACACGACAACTACACTAAGCAACTACAGACACGCAACTACTACCCTAACCCAACTACAGACACGGCAACTATACCTAACCCAACTACAGACACGGCAACTATACCAAACCAACAACAGACAGACACGGCAACTATACCCAACCCAACTACAGACACGGCAACTATACCCAAACCAACTACAGACACGGCAACTATACCCAAACCAACTACAGACACGGCAACTATACCTAAACCAACTACAGACACGGCAACTATACCCCCAACCCAACTACAGACACGGCAACTATACCGAACCCAACTACAGACACGGCAACTATACCTAACCCAACTACAGACACGACAACTACACCTAACCCAACTACAGACACGGCAACTATACCTAACCCAACTACAGACACGGCAACTATACCTAACCCAACTACAGACACGACAACTACACCTAACAACTACAGACGACAGCTACACCAACTACTACAGACACGGCAACTATACCTAACCCAACTACAGACACGACAACTACACCTAACCCAACTACAGACACGGCAACTATACCCAAACCAACTACAGACACGGCAACTATACCCAAACCAACTACAGACACGGCAACTATACCCAAACCAACTACAGACACGGCAACTATACCCAAACCAACTACAGACACGGCAACTATACCCAAACCAACTACAGACACGGCAACTATACCCAAACCAACTACAGACACGGCAGCTATGCCCAAACCAACCAACTACAGACACGGCAACTATACCCAAACCAACTACAGACACGGCAACTATACCCAAACCAACTACAGACACGACAACTACACCTAACCCAACTACAGACACGGCAACTACACCTAACCCAACTACAGACACGACAACTATACCTAACCCAACTACAGACACGGCAACTATACCTAACCCAACTACAGACACGGCAACTATACCTAACCCAACTACAGACACGACAACTACACCTAACCCAACTACAGACACGGCAACTATACCTCACCCAACTACAGACACGACAACTACACCTGACCCAACTACAGACACGGCAACTATACCCAAAGCAACTACAGACACGGCAACTATACCCAAAGCAACTACAGACACGGCAACGTCACCCAAACCAACTACAGACACGGCAACGTCACCCAAACCAACTACAGACACGGCAACGTCACCCAAACCAACTACAGACACGGCAACGTCACCCAAACCAACTACAGACACGGCAACGTCACCCAAACCAACTACAGACACGGCAACGTCACCCAAACCAACTACAGACACGGCAACGTCACCCAAACCAACCACACCTACACCAACTACACACGAATCAACACCCACGCAGGCACCAACTCCTGACATCAAATCACCAGCCAACACAACTGAAACCGTATTAGTACAACAAACATTACACACTATTCTAACTTTCAAAAATCGAAGCGAAGAATGCACGAAGTTGAACAAACAGGGCAGTCATTCCCTTCAGTCAGAAACCGACATATTTCTAAACATCAAGCAAAAGGTTCAGACATACCCTTCAGATCTACAAACAAAACAGACAAACCTCCACACAACACAGACTCTCATGAACAAAGACCAGGCCTCGCTGCTAAAACAACAAATCCTGATGTTAGCCACGTCCCAGCGACTCGTCGTAGACATCGGCGACCCCAGAATCCACCCATCGCCATCTGCCCTTCTACGTCAACTGGACTTTATCGAAGGCCAGATTAGTCTCCTACAGAAACTGCAGGACACGCTGATCAAGAACAACGAGGAGATTGTCCTCTTGCAACAACAGAAGGTCCTCCTCCACAGAGAACAGGGTCTGTTCCAGCTGGACACGTCGTCCTTGACCCCCGAGGAGCAGCTTCTTCATCAGGCCACACTGCTGAAGCTTCAGGCCTCGTTGCTTCACAAAGACGGTATCCTCACTCACATTGACGACAACATGACGTCATGTCTTAACCAAGAGATGATAATTATTTTATCGCTTAGGGAGCATTTGTTGCAATACAGGACTACTTTAGGACTACAAGTTTAACGTTTTAATGGCACAACTATGTTGTGCAATTGTTGTCGTGTGAGGTCGAAGGCCTAGGTTCGATTCCCTGCATTGTGTGTATCTTGATTATTTTAAACAGTTCAAAACCATCCTGGATTGAAGTCCGATTACATTGTCTGTTTTATGATCGTCATGATTATGTTTCCCTTTAACAAAACATTCACTCACATTACGTATTACTGTCAATGAGAGATTGCAAGTGGACATATTTTGATAAAGTTGAAAATATTTAATCTTCTACATTTCTAAGGCGACTGCCATGGAAAGCTCATTCGCAATTAAAATGCATCTGCTTGCACATGCCTCTGTGTCTTGTCTTCAATGAATGTTGTACTCAAATAAACAATACTGTTAATGCAATATCTTGTCATTATTTCTTAAACAATTTCAATGTTGTAAACAAGTAAGCCATACAACCTTGTTTTACTACTACTACTGCTGCGACTGCCGCTACAACTACCCGTGTACAACTACGACGTCCCGTGAAGTTTTTATATATTCAGCAATCCTTGATAATCGTAAAAAACCGGATTGGTTTGACAGGCTTGCTGCCTTGGTTGACGCATGCCATGGTATCCCACCTGTGTGATCATGATGTCAATCACTAGATCGCCTGGCCCAAATTGATGATCTACAGACCGCCATACCACAAAGTAAGGATAGTGTTGACTGCAACGAGAAACAACAAACACGCAAAACTACTACTACTGCTGCTACTACTACAAACACGCACAACTACTACTACTACTACTACTACTACTACTACTACTACTACTACTACTACTACTACTATATCGCCATCTTATAAGAGCAAGAGTGTGTAGTAGTTGTAAGAGGCCACATATTTAAATCGGGGGGTCAACCTCTGTGATGTGCTGCTCATCGTCGTGCACCGATGTCCTGTTTCCATGTTCGGTCACTGGTGAGTTTCAGACAGGCGTTGCCGAAGTGGAATACTTATGATTTATTATACTTATGCACCTTTAAATCAATATCGGATGAAAATGAACACCTCTATTCGCCAAGGGAGTCTTTATTGCACAAGGTTTTACAGTCAATGCAGTTATGTACAAGCATGTTTGTGGTCCAAACCCCACCCTAACCCCACCCCTGTGAGTATCTGGCTCAACCATAATAGGAGTTTGACGTCACAACGACGACCACGATGACGATGACGACGACCACAAGGACACAGCCACAGGCCACGGCCCACAGAGAGTAGCGCTTTGCCTGCGCGGACAGCATGAGAGCTGAAGGAACGTCTCCTCGGTCTAATGCTCGTCGAGCCTTCAAGGAAAGGACAAGAAGATTAGTCGGGTGTTACGATCTAGATTTGATCGGATAATTAATTAAATGCATTATACATATAAACTATGAAACATTTCTAATTATCCAATCTTCTTGTTCTCGAGACAAGTACACATATCTATTTTCTGTATGTCGAAAAATGTGAACAAGAATGGTGTCTTGTTAAAGACATTATATTCGCCTATCCGCATCCGAAGTCTGTGGCCATTATCCCGAAATAATCATGTTTGTTTATAGTGTAAGGTATGTATTTTGGATTACGCTTTCTAAGTAAAGAGGAAGTTCTAGAACCTTTCGGGGGGAGTTAAGTCCCAACCATCGAGCATGCAAATTCAGCCATTTTTTGTACCAGAATTTTCACTAAGATAGCGTAATCCATTATACAACCTATGTTATGATTGTGTCACACTCACCTCTTGAGCTCTGAAGATTGCCACAATGCCTAACGGCCAGCAGCACAATACTGTAGCGAGGATGGCCAGGCCCATGTTGTCAGGTACCTCGGTCACGTGTCCTCGATAGACCCCTGGTTGGTGTACCTACAGAAACAGCAGAAAACTCAACATCACGCAAAGACATCTCATTAACTTGGATACCTTGATACACGAACATTCATCGAGTTGTCCGTAGTTCGAGACAAGCGGACTCCAATATCAAACACCAGCGCTGAAGATCATAACGTCAGAATCATGGACTTACATTGTCGTTAGCCATGCATCGAGATAAACAACCGGTTAAGGTCGCGTATCAAGATTTGCTTTGGGCTTGCCTTAAACGTAAATTATCCGTATGGGGTTTGTCCTGAGCAAAGAAGGGGCGATGGGGTAGCCTAGTGGATAAGGCGTTCGCTCGTCACGCTGAAGACCCGGGTTGAGTCCCCACATGGGTACAATGCGTGAAGCCCATTTGTGGTGTCCCCCGCCGTAATAATGCTGGAATATTGTTAAAAGTGGCGTAAAACGAAAATGCCCAAAAGTGATCAACACGTACCGCTTGTGCAGCCGAAACTACACATGCAAACAGGGTATCTAAATGATAGGATTGGTTGGATGGTTTGTTGTTTAACGTTGCACTCAGCAATACTCGAGCTATATGGCGGCGGTCTGTAAATAATCAAGTATGGACTAGTCAATCCAGTGATCAACAGCATGAGCATCGATCTGCGCATTTGGGATACGATGACATGTCAGCGAGCCTGACCACCCGATCCCGTTAGTCGCCTCTTACGACAATCAGTTGTTACTGAAGATCAATTCTAACCCGGATCTTCCCGGGATAATGAAGATCTTAGAGACCTCACAGAGGACAGTTACTGACAGAGTCGCCAGAGATTGAGATGAGCTAAGACTTTACGTCGTTGGCAGCGACGTGACTGGCAGAGAGACGCCTTAATTGATTAAAGCTAGTTTTTTTCTGGTCACAGTTTAACGCCGAAAGGGAGGACGAACGGGGACATCTTGCATTCTAGAGGTCGTGCCGTATGGTGCACGGTGGCGTTATGGTGTTGGGAGGAACTTGACATCAGGAGAGAGCGAAAGGTCATCATCAACAGAAATTTGACAGCTGAGAGTTACATGGATGTCATTCTTGGTCCTCCCATTTCTACAAGAGCTACCTCTTGATGTCCTTTCTCAGCACTACACCGCCAGACCCCATACAGCAGGAATTGCACAGAATGCTCTGTCTACACGCTCCCCAGACACAGCGTTCGAAATAATTGCAGGCCCGGAGGCCCAGCGCCGGTTGTATCAGACTGGCAGTTTCAAATATATGCAGGCTCTTGTGGCCTTCAGGAAATTATCTCTGCTTTTTTAAAACTTTAATCTTTCCCATAATTGCTTTGCTTTTTAACGGTCGGGAATCACCCACTACTCATAATGTTATGATAACTTACAGTTTCACTTCCTGGTAGTTCAGCGCTTTGCGCATAGGTATGTCAACACCAGTCTTCAACAAATAAAAACTTCTCTCTGCGCCATAGGCTTCGCTAATTGATTTTGTAGAAACAGTGTGAAACTGTGTACAGTGTAGTCTATTTTGGTTTGTTTAAAAAATTGGGCCTGTAGATTTCATTCGGGTCTGTAGGCACAGCAGGCACTGATGGCCAACCGGGAAATGTCCACCATAGAAAACCTCTGGGTGTCAAAGATGGTCGTGTTAGCCAGCAACTACACCATCCAGCCAAACCACAAAAACAGATCCAGACCCTCCAACAAGAATGGCGTCATATCCCACGTGACGACTGCCATTTTGTCCGGAGAGTTCTTGTAACAGCAGGCGATGACCATACACGCTGTGACATATCACGTGACTTAAGCGATTTTAGATGTGTGCGCCCATTGTCCATGACGATGAAAGCTTGTTTTTCACTATTACACCTGTTCCCGCAATTGACATGTCGATATCAATTGCTGTATGGCTATCATATTGAATGCTGTTTTCGTTGAAATTTTGATCTTTCTAATATATTTTACTTCATGCACCTATATTTTGTGATTTTTATACAAGATTGTTTTAAATCTATGGTAAAGTTTCATGCTATGTTAAATGGAGGCGGCGTTTAAGTAATCGCGTCTGATTGTTTGATCGGCATTCCAGAAGCTACTTCGTCAATAATGAAGCATAAAAATTTATGATTTGTAGTAAACTTGTATGCTTCAATATTAATCGCATCTGGACATGACAATAATACGAATAGCGCAGGTCCACGTCGTCGGAATGGTCATACCATCAACCACCAAGCCTGACCAGCTGTTCCCCTAGGTCGACGTTCGTAACCGTCGTGGGAAATGTCCAAATGGTGTCGTTCCCATTGTCCGTGCGCCGAGATCGCCGTGTGGTACGAGCTCATTGTAGTCAAGATTCAAGTGCAAGCGTTACGATCTTCTTTGCGTTAAGATCACAACGTGGAACGGAGCTCAGGACAGTTTGGTGGACATTTCGAACCCGGAACCCCATCAGTGTCTGTTTTAACCATAAGCCACATGTCCATGGAGCCCATCGTGGTATACGATAACTTAATTATGTAAAGCAAAAATTACAGTCTTTGAAAATAAAAAACCTACTATAACTTGCTGTTGTCCATAAGGAGTACTATAGCCTTGCTGGCCCACAGCTGCATAGCTCGGTACCCCGGGGGTGCCTCCTGGGGTGGGGCCGTAACCCTGGCTTTGCTGGTAACTGGGTGGGGCCCCTTGGGGTAAAAGTCCTGCGTGAAAAAATCACAGACTTTTTATCATCATCGTCAATGGCCTTCAAGGGCTAGTATAAGTGTTTGGAGCTTGAAGTGTTTACATGCATAAAGTATTGGAAAGCATATTTTACGAAGAAAACATTGGCATTTTTCCCTTCAGCATGAAGGAACTCAGACACTCATTCTTTAAGCAGTGGCGAGAACAGACATTGCTCAATGACGTGTTATATTCTCAATGTAAACCCACTCACTCACTCTGTGAAGTTTGCGTAGATCGATATTCATGATGTTGGTCCCTGGATTGTACGGTTCAGAGTCGATTATGTACAGACCACACACACACACACACATATATATATATGGCATATTGCTGAGTGCGGCGTAAAACTAAATTCACACACTGAAGTAATGTCTAAAATATCCTGTCTGTAACAAAACCTGCTCAGTGAGGTGTTAAACTCACTCACTTACTCACTCACTCTGGAAGCTGGGCAGAAAAACCCTGTTCCAGCAAATAACCCCTACTCAAAATACTACTCAATGCGATGTTCTCCCTCACACACCGTCTTGTAAATAGTTTTTAAGGTTATATATTTTGTAATGTTCCCAATCGCTAATACAATTTAGAGAGCACATACTTAATGAAGGCTTGTCCCGTTCTACACAGATAATATTTCACATGTCGACCAGACACACCAAGCTATCAATTGTCTACCGACATTGAGGTATGAATTTACTGCTTCTGTCCGCGCTATTAATTTCACTTGTACTCTACAAAATACATCATTCATATACAGTACAGAAAATTTAAATCACAATTAAAATGTGTAAGAGTTCTAGATCGCCTACCTTCCTTTTCCGACATGTTTGTGTTGATATGACCTCAGAGCACAATGGGATATTGATGACCCTCGCCCAGTTATCAGCGAGTCGTATCAGTAATCATCACGTGACTGAAGCGTGACCCTGTACGTGACGTCATATATCACACCCACACGAGGTAATGATTCTGGTCAGTGTGTGTGGAAGGTGATGCATTTCGCAATGAGCAAGTGAATATGCGTTGTTGATATGTTGATCGACATGCGAGCTTGGGGTATCGAGGTAATTATAGTATCGTGATATATCGATATTCATTGCACCGCGAGGATGGCGAATCGTAACTCTAGTATCGGGATATGTCTAGTACCAAAACATCAAGTATCGCGCCGTATGGTCTTGAAAGCTTACAGGAGCTCTAGTATCGGAATATGTATCGTATCGTGAATATAGTCTCGCGGTATCTATCGTGTTGTTAGTTAGGCATATCGCAACAATCGTTATCATATGGTGAAGAAGGCGTATCGATCATGACTATATAGGGAAGCCGAAACAGGCAGTGAGTGAGTGAGTTTTACGTCGCACTCAGCAATATTCCAACTATATGGCGGAGGTCTGTAAATAATCGAGCCTGGACCAGACAATCCAGTGATCAACAGCAATGAGCATCGATCTACGCAATTAGGATACGATGACATGTGCCAACCAGGTCAGCGAGCCTAACCACCCGATCCCGTCGCTTCTTACGACAAGCATGGGTTACTGAAGATCATATCTAACCCGAATTTTACGGGTTGTCGCCGAAACAAAGAAATGTTATTGTCCAAAACACACGAGCGATACCTGTATGAAATATATCCACATCGATTAACCCTTTCTTGGTTGTTCTATTTCACCACTCACTGGGTATATCTGCCATGTGCACTTTCTAGCCCGCTAGTGTATTTAGAGTACTTCGACACAAGGCCACTGTACAGGTTTACAGAACTAACATTTTACTAACCACCTGTTAGGGAGACGTTCAACTGTTCAATTCCTATATTTAGACACTGGTGGGATTAACAGACCAGGAAATTTACTCCTGTCAGAAAATTACTTTTCAAATCAATAAACGTAATATATTTTCCCTGAAAATGAACCTGTCTTAGCGATTAGGTGATCGTAACTCTCATACTTTAACTTAGGCGTACGACTGCCGTAGCGATGAGGTGATCGTACCTCCCATACTTTAACACAGACTTACGATTGTCGTAGCGACAAGGTTATTGTAACTTCCATACTTTAACGTAGACTTAGAACTGTCTTACATCCCATACTTTAACATAAACTTACGACTGTCGTAGCGATAAGGTGATCTTACATCCCATACTGTAACATAAACTTACGACTGTCGTAGCGATAAGGTGATCTTACCTCCCATACTTTAACATAAACTTACGACTGTCGTAGCGATAAGGTGATCTTACCTCCCATACTTTAGCATAAACTTACGACTGTCGTAGCGATAAGGTGATCTTACCTCCCATACTTTAACATAAACTTACGACTGTCGTAGCGATAAGGTGATCTTACATCCCATACTTTAACATAAACGTACGACTGTCGTAGCGATAAGGTGATCTTACCTCCCATACTTTAACATAAACTTACGACTGTCGTAGCGATACGGTGATCTTACATCCCATACTTTAACATAAACTTACGACTGTCGTAGCGATAAGGTGATCTTACCTCCCATACTTTAACATAAACGTACGACTGTCGTAGCGATAAGGTGATCTTACCTCCCATACTTTAACATAAACTTACGACTGTCGTAGCGATAAGGTGATCTTACCTCCCATACTTTAACATAAACGTACGACTGTCGTAGCGATAAGGTGATCTTACCTCCCATACTTTAACATAAACGTACGACTGTCGTAGCGATAAGGTGATCTTAACTCCCATACTTTAACATAAACTTACGACTGTCGTAGCGATACGGTGATCTTACCTCCCATACTTTAACATAAACGTACGACTGTCGTAGCGATAAGGTGATCTTAACTCCCATACTTTAACATAAACTTACGACTGTCGTAGCGATACGGTGATCTTACATCCCATACTTTAACATAAACTTACGACTGTCGTAGCGATAAGGTGATCTTACCTCCCATACTTTAACATAAACGTACGACTGTCGTAGCGATAAGGTGATCTTACCTCCCATACTTTAACATAAACTTACGACTGTCGTAGCGATAAGGTGATCTTACCTCCCATACTTTAACATAAACGTACGACTGTCGTAGCGATAAGGTGATCTTACCTCCCATACTTTAACCGATAAGGTGATCTTAACTCCCATGCTTTAACATAAACGTACGACTGTCGTAGCGATAAGGTGATCTTACCTCCATACTTTAACATAAACGTACGACTGTCGTAGCGATAAGGTGATCTTAACTCCCATACTTTAACATAAACTTACGACTGTCGTAGCGATACGGTGATCTTACCTCCCATACTTTAACATAAACTTACGACTGTCGTAGCGATAAGGTGATCTTAACTCCAATACTTTAACATAAACTTACGACTGTCGTAGCGATACGGTGATCTTACCTCCCATACTTTAACATAAACGTACGACTGTCGTAGCGATAAGGTGATCTTACCTCCCATACTTTAACATAAACGTACGACTGTCGTAGCGATAAGGTGATCTTAACTCCAATACTTTAACATAAACTTACGACTGTCGTAGCGATAAGGTGATCTTACCTCCCATACTTTAACATAAACGTACGACTGTCGTAGCGATAAGGTGATCTTACCTCCCATACTTTAACATAAACGTACGACTGTCGTAGCGATAAGGTGATCTTACCTCCCATACTTTAACATAAACTTACGACTGTCGTAGCGATACGGTGATCTTACCTCCCATACTTTAACATAAACTTACGACTGTCGTAGCGATAAGGTGATCTTAACTCCAATACTTTAACATAAACTTACGACTGTCGTAGCGATACGGTGATCTTACCTCCCATACTTTAACATAAACGTACGACTGTCGTAGCGATAAGGTGATCTTACCTCCCATACTTTAACATAAACGTACGACTGTCGTAGCGATAAGGTGATCTTACCTCCCATACTTTAACATAAACGTACGACTGTCGTAGCGATACGGTGATCTTACCTCCCATACTTTAACATAAACTTACGACTGTCGTAGCGATACGGTGATCTTACATCCCATACTTTAACATAAACTTACGACTGTCGTAGCGATACGGTGATCTTACCTCCCATACTTTAACATAAACTTACGACTGTCGTAGCGATACGGTGATCTTACCTCCCATACTTTAACATAAACTTACGACTGTCGTAGCGATACGGTGATCTTACCTCCCATACTTTAACATAAACTTACGACTGTCGTAGCGTGCCATTGTGGAACGGGGTCCTGATAAGACGACCTCCATACAGGATCAGGATCTAAAACACTGGCCTTGATTGTAAGACGCTTCCTTACACTGTTTGAATGGACTAAGTGGCGTACCACATGCTGGCGACGTGCCAACTTGGTGTAAGCGTGTTCCCGCCATTTATTGGCATATAATATCTTTAATCTTTAAAATGTGTCAATAAACCGACACAGAAGACATGTGTCTATTTATGACTGTAAACATCTTAAATGAAAAGAACCGTGTTGAACAAAACAGCACAGATCTAAACAAACAAACATCTGTCCTTGGAAAGAAAACCCTAAAACAAGCCAGACAGCCAGTCAACCAGCCGACAAACCAGCCAGTCAACTAGTCAACCTGTTAGCCAGTCAACCAGGCCCATCTGTAACCTTCATAGGTCTACACAGGACACTATGACTGTCATTTCTCAAACTGTCATTTGAGAATTCCGACAGTTGTTTTCATGGAATCGCCTGAACTAAGGCAATACATTCCTGTTATTGTAAAGTGGACTCTCCTGTGCCATGGTTGTCAGAACACATGACAAAACACCTACCTATTTAGGTAATAACCGTTCTGTTTGGCTACTTTGTAAATCTAATATTTACAATATCTATATAGCCATATAGTTTTTTGTGTCTTGCACAATTAGGTTAAGAAGCAAAGTTCAATACAACCAATTTATGACCCATACACGGCACTAAACATTTAATCATGAATACCACTGATCCTGCATGTTCGTATGGGGGCTCAGACAAATGTAGAAGGAAACTCGGAGCAAACCCACGACAAAAGGTTTCTGGCAACTCTGCACAACTGATGGCCTCGTTTTGTACACTGATCCACCCACACGAGTCAACACAAGGGTTGTCTGTGAAAGTGGATGTACCATTAAGCTACACCATATGTTCGATTCCTCTGCACGAAAGATTCACGACATCGGTTGATTTTGATCTGTTTCTAACAGCTGTCAAAGCCACTCTAATCTCATTTACACCACTAAGTTCATGGTTGTATATATGGCCATGCATGACATGTTCGTGAACAGCATATATACTCAGTACTGTACACGCGAATTGGCGCATTCATGCATCATATGGCGATAACACAAATTTGAGATGCATGCTGTGTAGGGCTGCAACGATCCTTAGTTTCGATTTTCGATAACCATTATCCCTATTTCGATTCGAGATTTGAATATCTATTTAAAATATTTCCACGCATTTGACTTTTGAACTTCTTACTATATTTATTTACTTTTATGATCTGCACTGACTACCACTGAGAGTCAAAGTAAAGTCAAAGATATTTATTCCACTTTAGGCCTCCGGCCCATATACACGTAATGCAAGCATATACAAGTATACTGCACATGATACAGACATTTACAGTTCAGATAGGAGTTTGCTTCTGCAGATAACAGCATGTTTTATATAAAGCGCTAGATTACGTATTACATTTTCATTTTTTGGAGGATAGAAAGGAAACAAAGGCAGTTGAAGGATATTCTGACAGATACTTATTTGGGACATATTATTTTCTTAAATCAGCATATTGTGGGCATACAAAGGTGAAGTGAATTTCATCCTCTACTGCCGAGTTACATAATAGACATATCCTTAAATTTCTCTCTATTGAAAATCGTCTGCCATTTTTCACTGATAAATCTAACAAGCCCTATCGAAAATTGACAAATGTGCGTCCAATATTTCTAGATGTCAATACAGACAGATATAGTTCTGGTTGAATTAAGCTCTTATGTGATCTATACAACTGATATCTTGAACTATTGTCTAGACAGGAATGCCAGTTTTGATAATACATGCTAACAGATTGTTCTCAAATTGCTTAAGTCCTACTTTAATATTACCAACTGTTTGATGTAGCCACACAAATCCAAAGCCATGAGAAAATAAAATATGTCTAATATGAGATGCCCATGTTGTCTTACCCCTACCATGTAAATGAACAAGCATGTTATAAGCTAGTTTGGGGATTCTTTGTTCGTGCATTCCCATCAGTCTGAGAGTCCTCAGTATGAGTTTGACTTTTGAAAGTTTGACTTTAGTAACGTTTGTGGTCCTTTACAGAGGTCAAGAAAGTGAAAAGTGCTGTTCTGAGTTTAAACATGATCATATTTTATATGTTTGAAAGAGGTTACGTCATTTACATTCCTGATTTCCTAGTCAAATCTTGGAAAAAGTTTTCAGTGTGATATGTTTTGTTTAGTAAACTGAGAGTTAAATGAAATCTGATGTTTTTACTTAAATCAACGATCGAATCGAAAATGACCGAATCGAGGGTCCAATATTGAACATGGAATCGAATCGAGGTGTGGGTGAATCATTGCAGCTCTAATCCTTTGTGTCCATAACTGGTGTTCTCGGGACGTTTAATGTTACTCTTTTTTCTAAAAAGCCATCGAAACACCAGCTGATGCCCCAAATAGTCCAGCCCGCACGCCATGTTACTACACAATAAGGATGTACTGTTACTAAATGAGTAGAAAGAGTTACCTGTCCAGATAGGTTTTGAAAAACATTAAAACCACGTGATCGTCTGGGTGTGCTGCGAGACGGCCTGTTCCATGTAGATCTAGATCTGGATCTAGCACCATGTGAAAATCCCAAGAAGTGTCCGAATGGGTTCCTTGTGAAACTCGTTGACCTCCTTGAGAATGCATGGGGGCGATGGTGCATCCCACCAGATCTTTGTCCGGTACGCCGCGACGTTAAACGACTACCATGCCTTCCCATCCCTTATGCAATCATTGTTTACTCTTCGACCTTGACCTACGAACCGTAACTCACTTCCTCAGACGTTAGCGACCCACGCAATCAAGAAAGTTTGACGACTAGGGCATCAATGACACAAATGTATTTGTTTCCGGAGATATTCTTGCGCATTTTTTAGAAAAAGAACATTTTGATGGTGTATAGTGACCTTGGCAGTCAACTTTCATCAGACAAACCAATTGAGCTATATTTATACACGTTTATAAATACGCCCTAATGCAATGATATAACGTATAACTCGCTGACAAACAATCAAGGTATTTGAATCCAAACGGGACTGAGCTGTATAAGTTATCACATGTTTTTTTCATATCATTATATCATGCCTTCAAAATTCACAATTAGACTTGAAACATATGTATCAAATTCTTCTTTCCCTTCAGCACTTTAATTACGCTTTCTCTAACCATGTTCCCAAATATGCATAATATTTGTGATTACTGAAAGTATATATGCACATGAATGTTCGTGATGAATCCTATTGTATCTAATATAAAATGTCTAAATCTAAACATGTTCGTAAATTGTATAATATAAAAAGATTCAGAAATCCAGACATTTTACAATTTATAGACTTCTCCCAAAAAAAATGCCCATCCGAAGAAAGTATAAATTTACTGACTTCGGTATGACAACTGGTAAAATAGTTGTATTACAACCGAGGTTGGAGGTTTTAGCGGGATACAGCTCTGTCCTGGTGTCTCGGTAATCTCCCCTTATAAATGGGCTACGTATCCAACTTCTTTCAACACAAAATGCCAGTGGACGTGTTTTTGTTAACCGTCTTTTGGTCCATGTGTTGGGATGTTTACAAACACTGTGTCCTTGCTCACGTGTATCAACGATGGTTCAAAGGACTCATTTAGGCAACACGTGAGACTCCTTAGATCAGTTTATGTGGCATGAACAAAATACATGAAACTTTGTATGGATAATAACTTCTCTATATTCTTTATCACGGCGTTTCAAAGCTCATTTCTTCTCCTTCCTCGTGTGAAATCATTTCATCCATCATCATGTATTCATGTTCTTCTAACTTCTTGGTTGGTTTGCATTTGCTCCATTCATGTATTTATAAATGTATTCGCTCGTTCGTTCGTTCGTTCGTTCGTTCATTCATTCCATTGCTTTGCTTATATTTATTGTTGCTTTTGTTTGGTTTTCACGAATAACATGTACTTCGTTATTTTATCGTGACTCGATCATGGCCGGAGATGTTGAAGTACAAGAGACGGTCATTTGATAAAAAAAATGTCTCCACGAAGAGGATGGAGGTAACAGATATCTGGATTACAATGGAAACATGTACTGACTTGCAGTCAAATTCTAATTCATCGTTTTGTTAAATAAGGAATGCACGGAGTGCCAGCTATTGCCTCTGATCTCTCGTTGCATCTCAAGCCACAAGGAGGCCAGCGTGTTGTGTGATCACTCTCAAATCCATACACACATGGACGGTCATTTGTGATATCCTGTGCTCCACAGCAGTTAAATGAACATTTTGATTTATTAATAGGAAACGGAAACATTTGACGAAGGGTTCAATACTTCTTCTAGGTTGCGTTAAATCATTTGGATTGCAGCCAGCTCTAAACCGAGGTCTTGTTGTGGTACAGTACGCCATTCCGGTTGGACCCGATGAAGTCAGATCTGACGATCAGATGGGAATAATGTTTGACCTGGGTGGTGGTGCGCCATGGCCACTTGTGATTATATACAGGAAACTACATACCAGATGGTAATTACATTAACGTATAAAACAGCTTTAACTCACCATTCTCTAAATAAAGCCAAAGCAGAAACACTTTAGGATTTATTGAAATGAGATATAACAGAAAGGGCGGTGGTACATTTGGCAGCTTGGTACCCGGTCACGCTTGGACAACCGGTTTGATTTCTCAAACAAAGAATACAAAGCGTCCATTTATTCATTTTTCTGTGTTTGCTTCTTAGATTAACGCCGCACTCAGCATTATATGTATGCGACATCTTGTACACACGTCGAAACAGGATCAACCCAACGGGATACATTGACATTCGATCAAACATACATACATACAAACATTTGTCCGATATCCATTTCACTCGATCATTGGATATCCATCACAACGGCACATCGTTTTTTTCAATCTCAACTCCCTGGGGAGCATACAACTCTTGCTGCCTACTAGGCGCACCGAGTTAATGTGGCTTTTCCACCCTTACGAGGTACCCATTCACAGCTGGGTGGACTGGGACAAATAGTCACAGTACTTTGTCCAAGTTTACTGCACGTTGCTGTACCCGCAACTAGGTGTCCAACCGATCTACTCAATCGTTTCTCTGGACAGGCAAAGGTTGCTGGGTATCAATACCTTTTCTCTACCCGAAATGCAAATAATCCACGCATATCGTTATGCTAAATGTTTGAGGATCTTCGAATAGTTTCGGGTGGAAAACAATGCGGGATAGTTTTGAGATGCATGCTTTGTAGGGCTGCAACGAGTCGGTTCGATTCATCGAAAATCGAATCTGACACCAATAAAACAATACCCTCTCTATTATAATAAAACATTGTTCTTGTTTTATTTAGCCACCGTAATCCTCTTTCTCAATTAAATCGTGAATTTCCAACATGAAAATACATTCTGATGGCAATTTAAACAATAAATAATAACTTGCTTGTATAGCATTGAACTCTATACACATGTATGTCCAACAAGCAAATCCTATCACCGGTTGTAAGACCACATGGACATCAAATTGTCCAAGATCTCTGAAGTAAAGTAATATCGTTCTGCTATTGCTCCTTGTTTATATAATATCCTTCATACAACAGAAATACGAAACCAACCAAAAAAGGCTGACGTCAGTTTACAATGCAGCTATCACTTCGTTGTGACTTTGGCGTTGACCTTGCATCCCTCTCAGGATATAACGCCATTTCCTCAGCATAACGCCTCGAAGGGCAGCTCGTAGACGCAGTTGAACGCATGTTTTCACGACCAGTCGTGATCAATATTTCACTAAGAGAAGGCTCCGCCCTCGAATCGCTTTCCCCACGTGGCATCTGACCAAAGTCGTTCCTTGTTCTCATCCATGGTCGCATATCGGGGGCAAGAAAATGGGGAGCTTCCGGGGGACATGCGCGAGTCTCGAGCACCATATATTGGGTCTGGTTGCAGCGTAGCCGTTGACGTTCCGCTTCGTTGTGTGCCTCTAGCTCGTTAACTGCTTCCGTAACTACTGGCGAAGGAGGTGCTGTGTCCACTTTGTGTTCCGGGCCAAAGAGTTCTTCATAACTTGGCGGCGCATCCAAAATAGCCCGGAGTTCAGCTGTTGAAACAGAGAAACAAATATGTGATAAACTGTGTTACCAATAATCAAGACAAGGTCTGAATGCAGACACGTGTATTCCCAACTAAGCAGCCGAGTACACGAGGATTGCATATCAACAAGAGGGGCGGATGCAGGGGCGCACAGTTCTTTTTCACCCATTTTCACGAGAGTTTCAATGGTCATGTAATAAACTTTCAGGACAAAAAACCGGGGGTGGGGGTGGGGAAGATCCCCCCACCCATCTCTGGATCCTTCTTTGACAAATGTAGTTTCAAAAAGCCACAGACATATCAGTATGAGTATTCTGCGTCGCAGATTCCCTTAGCTGTAATGGGTGAGGTGAGGTGAAATTGGGTTTAACGTCGTGCTTGAGAATATTTCGCTCATATGACAACGTGCATGCGTGTGTATGTGTATGTGCGGCTGCTTGTACTAGCCAAGACTTAAGCTGTTTTTTTTATAGTGCTAGCCCACTGAGATACCACGCCGCAGTGAAGCATGAATACCCCACTCAGACACATTATACTGACTCCGAGCCGACCAGTCCTTGTTGAACCCATTAATGCCGAGCGCCAGGCAGGGACCAACAAGTACGATATTTTAACGTCTTTTGGTATGACGCGGTCGGGGATCGAACCCGCGACCTTCCGCTCTCCGGGCGGACGCTCTAACCACTACACCACGGAGGCGGTCTTAGCTGTAATGACAGAGATGGAATTGTATAAATGGATCATTGAAAATCGGTCATGGCACAATTAAGGCTATTGGATCATGAAATAAACATTTGTCTTAAATTGAAGATCACGAAACTCAATCTATGGGAATATGTTGTCTGAGACATAAACATAGCGGAATATTGTTTTGGCTCTGCCAAAGAGAAAACTACGTGCTCAGTGGACTGAGACCGATTGAACTTTCTTGATGTGACAAACACCATATTGGAAACTACCGGTGTTGTTGGCCAACATATTTCATTTTTAACATCGCAGAAAATAACCACCGCGCGCCACTCATCGTTCTCAGCCTCCCACCTCTCATACAAGTTCCTGCAGTTTCTTAAAACTACGACTTTCATCATTTAGTTAGACAGACTAATCTTTTAGTGTCCCAGGGAGTTTTTTGCAGCAAGTAAACAGCTGGTAGGCGTGTCTGCGAAGCGGCGGATTCTCTATGCAATGTGTCCAACCCTTCCGTCAGTTCCCGTGGCGTGAAACGTACTTTCCATACTATTGTCGGTACGTAACACACACAATCGGACATTTAAGCATCAATGTAGCAATCGGAATATACAAACTCACGACAAAAATACATACGGTTCTCTCCCGAGTTTCTGGAGGCAGCCATTATGATCTAAAATTAGAACGCTATCCTCCGAAACATAGCTATACCGTATTCGTACTAAAAGATATTCAAATACACTTTCTTCTTCAGTGCAAGTAGTATGTTTACTGGTTACATAGTGAGCTGGCTGGGTTAACGCCTCGTTTACAATGTTGCAGCTATATCATGAGGTACCAGCTTAACATGTGAGGGATGGGTAAAAAGATGTTGGTCTCAGGCGTTTATCACTGTGATTTTTTCCAAAACCTACGACTATGATGCTGATAGAAAAATATAACATTACCGTGATTCGAAACAAGCATAGCTTTCTAAGAGTCGCAACACCGCACAGCGGATAATTGTGCCTTAAACCACTGGGCCACTCCAACCGATTTACACAATTGTAAAGCGCAGCACTGTCATTATTGTAAGAAATCCTCCATCGATTTCCGCAAAGTTTAATAAACTACATGTAGGCAGTTTTATTACCTGTATGAACATTTTATTATGAGCGTGAAGATCCGGATTAGAATTGATCTATCTGTGTCAACCTATGCTTGCGGTAAGAGACGACTAACGGGATTGGGTGCCCAGAATGTCAGTCACTAGATTGTCTGGTCCAGACTCGAGTATTTAGTGACCGCTGTCATATAGCTGGAATATTCCTGAGTACGGGGTTAAACAAACAAACAAACAAATAACAATGAACGTTTATTTAACACTGTGGTTAATCGATGAAATAGTATTTCACTATAAGGGTCATCCTTGTGGCATCGAAGACACAGTGAATGAGTTAGTTTCGATTTTTAACACTTCGTCTTAAAGTGTTTTTAATGCGGTAATTTATATCAGAACTGTAATTACTAATGGAAGACAAAGTTGAAACATTGTTAGAGGTTAATTCCTCTCAGACCAATCTCTTTCAACCTCCGTACAGTTTGACCGGATATCCTCCGAAGTGTAGGCACCCTGGCTGCTGTGCTCTAACCCGTGGCAGTACTATCACGCAAATGTAGTACCCGGATGTACCGAGCTTGGGCTGCAGTGGTGATTCGAGGTCTGCCTGTACGGGGACAGTCATTTGTTATACCTGTTTGGTTGTAACGAGCTGCAAGCCGTGATATCGTGCTCAGACTAACATTCAGACGCCTGGCAACAGAAGATTGGTAATCTCCAGCGTGTATTCTTTCAATGGCGATGTCAAGACGTAGCGTGGTGATTTGACCTTGAAACTCCTTCAAAACGAATGCCAATTTCCGAAAGCAATATGGAATTATATTACCAGACAGTGCATACTCTTTGTTGCACAATTTTTAACTGGAAGGTGATTTGTGTTGCGTTGTGGTGATGCCTTTTTAATCCTTGTAAGAAATCTCATCACAATCTACATTTTCAGGTAAAATCGATTTTTACTTGTGCAATTGTGTAAAATCATGTTATCAACACTTTCGTTACATATTTTGACGATTGTTTAAACACAATAGGTAATTAATAGATTTTTAAAAATACAGATCGCCTATGCGTTTCTTTTTTGGTGATAGTATATATGTACTACCGTGTAACGCTGAGATTTGCCTCTTCGTCGTTGACTTGGCTTTGGTACCCCTCATGGTGATTATACAAGTCCCTAAGAACCTATGAACTTCACAGATCCAGACAAACTGCCCATCATATATTTCGCCATTACCCAACTTATTTCGATTTGCTTGAGTACAAATACGCGGCATGAAAATGGACAAGCACTCAAGGTGGCCTTTACAGCTTGACAGACAGAGAGTTTATTTGCGTAATATCGGCCTAGTGGCCTATAATACAGTTATATAAATCGATGTACAGTGGTCAACTGGATCCAGCTCTTGTTTGGTGAGGTGAGGTGAAATTGGGTTTAACGTCGTGCTTGAGAATATTTCGCTCATATGACGACGTGCATGCGTGTGTATGTGTAGGTGCGGCAGCTTGTACTAGCCCAGACTGAAGCTGGTTTTATAGTGCTAGCCCACTGAGATACCATGCCGCAGTGAAGCATGAATACCCCACTCAGACACATTATACTGACTCCGAGCCGACCAGTCCTTGTTGTACCCATTAATGCCGAGCGCCAGGCAGGGACCAACAAGTACCATATCTTAACGTCTTTTGGTATGACGCGGTCGGGGATCGAACCCGCGTCCTTCCGCTCTCCGGGCGGACGCTCTAACCACTACACCACGGAGGCGGTCAGCTCTTGTTTGGAATACATTATGCAGAAATAAAGCAGTGAAATGTATTACCTGACTGTTGCTTGATTTGAAAAGATATTCTAAGGTTAATGGACCTCTATACACTTTTCGAAGTTGTAGCAAATATTTTTCACGCCAACATTCATAATATGTACATTAAAAAAAGACATTATTTACAGTTTGCGTGTCTATATTTGATAAAATTTTCACATTTTGTTACAGCAAAAATCGCGACCGGAGACAGCATCACAATGTATTGGGATTATTCTTAATATATTCGTTTCCAAATATTCAGCAGACTCGACACAAGGGAGCTTAAATACGTATACCCAAAGCAAATTATCAACATACACTGTGAACGATAACGTCAGTAAACATTAGCTAGCCCAGATACGTGTCTTGTGCCCTGAGTGAAACCTATCGACAGATAAGAGGGGTTTACCACGTGTGTACAGGACGCGTGATCTCTAGACTTGACTTTTGTTTGTTTTGTTTGTTGTTACACTCTAATATTCCAGATATATGGTGGTAGGCCGTAAATCAATGCGTCTGGACCTGACAATCCAGTGACTATCATCATGAGCATCGATACGATGGGATCCAATGACAGAAAGAAAAGAAAGAAGAAAAGTTGTTTATTACAGTGTGTCACACCCTGGTACAGAGTCCGGCCTCTTAATGCCTATGACACACAATAAGACAAGGATAAAACTATGATAATATTAAAATGGCATGCATCTAGTCACAACAGTACTGTAATAACCAGGGGCGGATACAGCTTTTTGAGAAGGGGGTGCGCACTATTGAGAAAAGGAGGGTGCACACTTCATTTTCACCCGAGTTTCAATGGTCATTTAACAAACTTTCAGCACAAAGGGGGTGCGCACCCCTGCAAACACACACCCACCCCCACCCCCACCCCATCCCCACCCGGATCCGCCTATTATAACCATCATACAGTGGCACCAACACCCCCCATGCTCACACGGTTCCGGATCTATACATAATACCGTACTGAATAAAACCCCTATATGAACAATTTCTTACATTCCCTCACTTCAATGTCAATGATATGTGTCAACCAAGTCAGCGACTCTGACTATCCGTGAGTCGCCTCTTCCGACAAGCATGGGCTGCCATAGACCAGAGCTCCGTTTCACAAAGCTATCGTAACGCTACGACTGTCGTACCTCCTGTACTGTAACATAGACTTACGACAGTCGTAGCACTACGATAGCTCTGTGAAACGGTCCCAGTTCTGCTCGGGTATCTGCACCAGCACTGCAGTGCGTGTGTCAGTCAGTCGGTATGATAACATCATGTGTCAGGTAGTCATACCTGTTTGCCAGATAACTGCAATGTCATGATCACGAGTGTTGAATTTTTTTTTATCTGTTTCAAACATATGAACGTTTGTGGTAAACATAACAAAACACGAATATTCCTCAAACTGCACAACAAATAAGACAAATGTCACTTTAGGATATTTTTATATTGGATTGTCTTGTTCAGACCCGATTTATTTACAAACAACACCATACATCTGTAATACTGCTGAAACAAATATCTGCTCATAATATAGTCACAATTGTACAATCGACTCTTCTTTTGGCAGAGATTTCTGTGGAAAGGGTTTTGTCGCTTCTATCTATTTGATCAAGGTTGTCCGACTACTTGAATTATAGTTAATTAGAATATTTATTCTGCCTTACTTAAAAAGGGAAAAAACAACGATGTGATTCTTCATCAGTGAGTATTACTTGACAAAGCTTTAAACGGCATTGTTAAAAGTAAGTATGTTGAAAATGATTATTATAATCATTCTTAGAAGTAACAGTTTATATAACAGCAAAAATAACACAAAAGTGGTTTTATAAATGAACAGTTTCCAGAAAAAATATTTTTCATAAAGATAAATGGAATTGTGATGGTAACAGTTTCATTCTTATATATTATTACTTTAGTCATAAACATCATAACATCATAAAAATATACTCTCTCTCTCTCTCTCTCTCTCTCTCTCTCTCTCTCTCTCTCTCTCTCTCTCTCTCTCTCTCTCTCTCTCTCTCTCTCTCTCTCTCTCTCTCTCTCTCTCTCTCTCTCTCTCTCTCTCTCTCTCTCTCTCTCTCTCTCTCTCTCACTCTCTCTCTCTCTCACACACACATACACACAAACACACACACACACACATAATGCACAACACTATCAGTGCAAGAATAAATCGTCTTACCGCTATAGTACGACGTGTTCTGCTGCGACATGGCGTAAGAGTCGCCGTCGACGTTGATGTATTAGGGTGTCAGTATCCCTGCCGCAGGTGTCACAGATTTCAAAGATCACATATCACAGTTCACGATGATAACACAACATCGTTTCGAAAGCAAGACTTAGAACCACAGTTTATCCATCACTGGTAATCTTCAAAACCCGCAGTGACACACTGAAAACACACAGAGTTGCATATACAATAACACTGTCTGACACAGCAGAATCAGAGATCTGGTCCTGCTCGCTTACATGCGATTATTCAAATCAAACATCAGGTTAACTTGTCTCTATGCGCTGTTGACTTAGTGTAAAGACACGTGATTTGGTTGTTGTGGTGATGATCTATATACCTGTATCACGTAGGCTGATACATCACGTGATATTAGTCATCACGTTACATTACTTACCAACGTTAATATGTCGAAATTGTCCGTTTGCTCAATAACATCCGGTTAGCGAGACTCGTGGGTATTGTACGTACGCTTCAATCAATACACGATAGTAACGTTGTTTGTTGCCTCCCCATTCAGAAATATTCCAGCTGTAGGTTAACAGTCTGTAAATAATCGATACTGGGCTTGCGAATACAGACGCGTCTTACTGCCAGTATGAGTTGCTGAAAACGAATTCTATTCCCGACCTTTAAGGGACTTCGTATAATTGTTAGACACTTTTTCCTATCTGCAGAACGGTGAAGATCCGGGTTAGAATTGGTCTTCAGAACCCATGCTTGTCGTAAGGGCGACTAACGGGATCGGTTGGTCAAGCTCGATGACTTTGTTGACACGTGTCATCGTATCACAATTGCGTAGTTCAATGCTCATGCTATTGATCACTGGATTGTCTGCTTCAGTCGTGTTTATTTACAGACTGCCGTTATTTGGCTGGACTATTGCTGAGTGCGGCGTTCAACAACCAACCAACCAACCAACCAGCCAGCCTATCTGCAGTTCTCTTTCTATTCAACCATTGTCCATCATCATGTGTTTGTATCAGTACTGGGACTTCGGACAGACCGGTTAGAAAAGTAAAGTTTGTCGTGTTTTTATTTATCTCCGATTTGTTGACCACCCTGCAGCTTTAGCGTATCCATAACTGTGTTAACTTCATCATCAGCTAGGGCGATGTTGTAGACATACAAATAAAACACGAGTTCTATTCCCATATACATATAGGCACAATGTGTGAAGCCCATTTCTGACTTTGTCTGCACTGATATCGCTGAAATGTTACTGAAAGCGGCGAAAAACTATCTTCACTCAACAGCAGCTGTTGTATGTCGTCACTGGGACGCTGTTAAGTCACTTAAAATATTGCAAAAGAACAAAACTTTTTGAGCTAATAAGTATAAGGTAAGACACAGACCCGATGAAAGCGTCAATGACGTTTGTAAATCTGTCGGGGCACCTGCACCTTCATCTCTTTCATCATAAACCCCTTCATCTGACTGAATTCCCTGGTGTATTCATACATATTGACAAACAGTTTACATGCATGTGTTATCACAGAAATAAACCATTACCTAACACAGAAGTAGTTATAATTAATATGATTAACTTACTGTCTTCAAATTATATATACAAACAGTCAAACGCATTACATTAAGAAGTAATGTATTGCCTGCTACAAGCAACTTTGATTTGTTAACGCCTCCAACATAACCATTGATGCTCAGGTAATGTTAATACTGTGGTTTTTGTGTTGTAATATGGGCCGGTGGTCTAGTTACGGAAATACTACGAAGTGAAACAGAGATTATATTTAACATACTTAAATACATGTAGTGTGTGTTCTTGAGTGCGTGCGTGCGTGCGTGTGTTTGTACTTGCGTGCGTGTGTGTGTGTTTCCAACAAGTATATCTAACATACAACAATAAGAACTAAGTATTCATGACCCACAAATATGTATTCGAATAACATACTTTTTAAAACTATTAAAAAACTATTGATTGACTAACTAAGAAAGCAAGTTATAATATAACCAATTCAGTTAATTGAACACCTGTTAAACTGACGTAAAATACTCTCTACAGTTGAAACTCAAAGTCTTGCTCTTAGCGCAAATACCTTGCAATCATTCTGTATCGTTTTGTTTCTTTAAAATGACAGTACGCCCGGCGAAATCTTTGAAAACGAAATTCGAGTGGCTATATTCCCTTTTGTGCATTATGTTATTAATGGGTGGTATAAAATATACTCCATGTCAAATATATTGTTTTTATTTGTTATTTGATCCATGTAGAAACGACTGTACCTCAACATCGTCTATAGAAGGGCTGCATTCTAGCCCAAGAATATATTAGTATTTATAAATTTTGGTTCAGCAAACCCAGAATTTTACATGTGGCATTTTCAATCAGTGATGATGAAGTTTATTGTTAGTTTACTTAAGTTTTACTTAAAATAGCCCTTCTTGTAAAGATTTTAGTTTGATTTTTAATACATAAAATATGCATTAAAAATCGCACTAAACTTCCCATCCAAAATACCTGTAAAATTGCAATGCAAATGATGATGAATGTTAAATGGTAATTTATATCCATCGCTCAAGAGGACCTATTTCAACATTCTACATTTTAATTTATTTTTGAAATATAATATTTGTTTAGTTTGACCTTCTGGTGTACAATTGTCCCATTGTCCCGTCCCATTACAATTTCTCTGTGAAATGGTTCGATAGTTTACACTTGCAGTCATTGCATGTAATTAGTTATAACTTAGTAACGACATGATATGGAACCTCAAGTATCGATGCATTTTAAAGCCAATATACCAATGTACTACACAGTATCGACTGACTGGTATGCAGTTATGACAAGGTCAGTAGAAAGTGCTACAATTGACCTCGGTCTCGCCTTATCATGGGAAAAGAAAAAGCTATTTAATCTGGAGAGCATAATACACTTTCCTGTCATTGTCATCAATTGTCATTCAAAATTGTGTGGCATGGCACACCTTTAAGTGATTTATTCTTTACATCGCCATGCAAAATGTGGTACTAATCACACCAATGAAATAATCATTATCTGGACAGAACATATTTCAATTTATACTTTTGGGCATAATGTGCAAACTATCTTCATAACCATGACACATCTTACTCTTGCATGCCAATTTTGATTACAATTGGACAACAATTTATGAATTGGATAATAGTGTGATGGGTGAAAAAACGGACGCGCAGAGCTCCTCTTGATGATAATAGTAAGAGTGTCATCGAAATTCATGATTATGCAAAACAACTTAAAATTATGGTTTCTTTTGAAACATGACTACACAACGACACTCTCTAAATTGTCCCACTCTCTCAAATCCCTCAAATCTCAAATCTTTTTAACGAGGCACCTTAATAAATATGCAATGCAAAGAAACGCAACCACACGTGTATTTACGTATGTTTAAAACTTTTATTACAATTTACGTAAATATTTATTACATTTTACCGCAACTAAAATAATTACAATTTACGTCAATTCTATTACAACTTTCGTAATATAATTTACGTCAATGCTTGTTACAGTTTACGTCAAGGGTTATTACAATTTGCTTCAAGTATTACAATTTACGTATTTATTACAGTTTACGTCGTAACAAAACCCCTTTTATCAACATGACTCACCATAGACCATTCTTAATGAGGCCTCATGAATATTCATATATGTACCAAAACGAGGCTAAATTGGGCACGGACACAATTGCATAATGGCGACAAATCTCAATGTATACTTCCTGGTTTCAAATTTCCCTTGAACGGTACATTACGAAACTGTCCAGTAGTTCAGGGAAATCGCAGAGAAATGTCGGCGATCTAGCCCCCTCAGCCACCTCGGCTGCCACAAAATGGAAGACGGACACCTGGTAATCCAGATCACCTACTTTGAGCGACCAACTGAGTGTACGTGAAACCCCAAATATAACATATCTTAAATTGACCACTTTCTGAATGGTATTGTGGATTCATTGTCTTAATCAGAAACTCTTGGGGTTTGGTGCTTCCCTTGCGTCGTGTACCCCTTGGCTTTGGTGATATCTCTCACTGATGTTCATTATCCATACTCCAGCGCATTGTATAGATGAACAACTGCATTAAATGACATCCTTTCATCCACTCGTTATATGCTTTTTGGGCATGCAAAGCCCAGCATCCTTTATCGCAAGTCACATGACTGAAAATTAGATGAATGTTAGACCGAACTGGTAGTCTCTAAATTTCATTTGAAACCGAACGCGTAGACCATGTTGTGTAGACCATTCTAAAAGGAAACAAATATACCGTTTACCAGGTAAGCAAATCTTACTAACGTTTTGTTGTAGAATTTGTATAAATAGAGATGTATATTCCCAAGGCTTCCTGATGCGTTAGACATTGTTGTATATGAGTTTGAATATATCATTATAATAGAAGGTAATATGATAGTGAGGTTCCCTGATAATTGTGGAGCAAAACTCATATAATTGTATTTTTCGAGTTTTAATAAATGTTTTGTTATTAACATTTCCATCACGTCTGTTGTGTTGATAGCAGCCATGTTGGTGGTCAAGCTGAAGTAGTGCGCAGTGTTGTATACATGCGCAGAGAAACGGTCTTAAAAACAGACGTACTTTCAAATTGATAGTGTCTAATATTATTGATTGTCCAATCAAATTCGCGTATTTCACGTAGTCATGTTATGTGCATCAAGTGACGGCCATACGGACAACATGCTTATATCCACGTGACCAATGTTGTATTACACCTTGTATATAACGGTAATTTTGCCAACACCTGTCACTCGAACCACCGTACTCGCACATCAAGGTAAGAGTGAGATACTGTGGGATGTGATGATACCTACGTATGGTAATGATCAGTCATATCATGACTTTAGCTTTCAATGATTGAACGAAAACCTACACCTTCCTACCCAATCACCATTTCCGTGTACTGCACGTACAATTTGAATACCCTACTCTTAACTCTGTGTGTATTTGTTTGTGCTTGTGTGTGTGTGCGTGGGTGGGTGTCCTTGTGTTCGTGTGCTAGATGCGTTTCTATATGTGTCCGAGGAAAACAGGGAGAATATTAAATCGATCAAAATGTTTCTGTCGGTGCAGATGTTCCGCTTTGTCGTGGTTGCCGTGCTTGCTGCTGTTGCCGTCGCAGCAGATTTGAACAGAGAGTGGGACATATTCAAAAGTACTTACAACAAAGATTACCTGACAAAGGAGGGTGAGGCCAACAGGTGAGAAGACATGTATTGTTGCGATAGACCCACAAACACATCTGAAACTCTCAATAGGTATGTGTGAAAAAATGTATATGAAATGATTTCACTATTTCAGGTCGTTTAGGATACATCGCCCTTTCATTTTAACGACACTTGCTTCCAAACTTACCATACGTCTAACCAATTATTCTAACTGAATGCTTACATGGAACTATACATGCATTTTATAGGTTTAATAAGGCCATTGCAAGAGTTCCCAAACCGTGGTCTGCCCTTTACCAGTTCGTGAATTATCTCCCTTGTATTCCAGACGCATGGTTTGGGAGAACAACGTGAAGTACATCCAGATTCACAACCTAGAGGCTGATAGAGGGTTGCACTCCTACAGACTCGGGGTCAACGAGTACGCAGACCTGGTGAGTTAACATCCATGGTCAATGTTCAGCCACGACAGGTTCAGGAATGAAAGAGTGAGGAAAACCTAACGTTACTATTGTACAATTCAGACTTAATCATGACAATGTGTTTCTGAAATACGATCAAATAGTAATGAGGCCAAGTATTCGCGAAAAGGTGAGCGTGTCCTACCCCTGGTGACACCCGTCACAAACACATGCACGGGCAAGTCAGTTTCTTCACATAGTACAAGACAAAGTAGCGAGTTGCATAAGACATCAAAATACCCTCTGCCTTACTGAGGTTTTGAATGCTGTAAGCTTTTGAAGCAACGTCTGGCAAGTGCCCCACGATCCTTTTCGAGGTTTAGTCAACAGAGCATGCTCGACTGTGCCTCAAGGTTGTGTTATATTGATACTACAGGAACTTAACTCGACATATTGGTTGACCATTAAAAAGCTGAAGTCATCCATCTTGTCATACAGCTATGTAGGTGAGTGAGTATGGTTTTACGCCGCTTTTAGCTATATTCCAGCAATTTCACTGCGGGGGAGACCAGAAATGGGCTTCACACATTTTACCCAAGTGGGGAATCGAACCTGCGTCTTCGGCGTGACAAGCGAACGCTTTAACCAATCGACTACCCCACCGCAACCTGATTTGGTATGAAATAGATGAGGATGCTCTGCTGGTCTCCCTTATTTTTAGCTGAAGCAGGTGCAGGCCCTGGAAGGGAACTGACTATTTGAGGGCTATTGAACTAAATCAGATCATTGATACCCTCTGTTGCACAATGTCAGTGCTAGTTCAGACTGACGACCTTGCTCACTCGCCGAACGCCACAAGCATAGACAATATTAGACATGTCATTGAGACTGACAAACCAAGGCTTATGAATAACGCTATGTCTCTCAGACCACGGAGGAGTTTGTGAAGCAGATGAACGGACTCTGGATGACCAACACCACAGGTGGCTCCACCTTCCTGCCCCCCAGTGTGGGAGAACTCCCGGCCGAGGTGGACTGGAGGACCAAGGGATACGTCACAGAGGTCAAGAACCAGGTAGGCCTACCGATCTACGTCTATCCATTACTAACGCGATGCAGACGTGGTCAAGTGGAGAGAGTGTGTGCCTGGAGAACAGAAGATCATGGCCACATCATACATTACCACGTTAATATTCCTTATCACTCTCAGTCAGTTTACTGTGTCTGAGTGTGTTATCCAGCGTAAATATATGATCATTTTAGTGGAATCACAGATAGAATCCCGACAGGAAATAACGTGAAGATGGAGGTGTGGACATTGTTTGTGTCCAGTGTCTGTGACGTGACGAGCGAACGCTTTAACGTAAATGATACCTCCTTGAATATTGGAGGAAAATAGAACATGTGAAACTAGTTCGATATGTCCATTATTTGTCATGGCATAGACTAGTGAATACCATTTCAGCTTGACTGCGGATCCTGCTGGGCGTTCTCCGCCACCGGCTCTCTGGAAGGCCAACACTTCAAGAAGACAGGACAACTCGTGTCTCTCTCCGAACAGAACCTCGTTGACTGCTCATTGGGTACATTACTCTGACTGTTTTCACTCATCTTGTTGGTACACATACCATGGGGATATGGTTCATTATCGAAGTGCATCAAGACGACTGAAGCTATTACACGCAGGATTACTAAATACAGTGTTTATTCCCAATATAGCCCATTTCTGGGGTCCCCCGCCGTGATATTGCTGGAATATTGCTAAAAGTGGCGTAAAACTCTCACTCACTCACAAATACAGAATATTGACCATCAACACAGCACACTCATGCAGAACCTTGCTGATTGAACTTGCACAAATCTCTAAGGTAAAAAGTAATGGGTTCAATGATAATTTCTGAAAAATAATAAATAACAGACTGGGGTTTTGACTTGCATCTACGAAGGATAAAATTACTATTCATCCATGGGTTCAGCATTCAGTATAACTTTGCTGATCTGAAGTGTTATTTACTGAAAAGTTGATTCTGTCGCAGGAAACAATTCCACACTTTCAGTCGGAACTTCAAACTAGTATTTTCTCCAAAACGCTGAAGTCAAGCAATTCTATTCTACGTGAATGGGCGAGTGGTGAAGGCTTGTTTCAGAACATGGGCAATGCTACAAGGCTAATGTCAGTGTGAAGAGGTGATCTCCAGGATTCCCTAGTTGATGCATGTCAACGTATCCCCATAGATGTCAGTCACTGGATTGTCTGGCCCAGACTCGTTTGTCTTGACCGCCGTCACACAGCTGGAATACTGTAATCTACAGACATACAAGACTACATTTTCATGATTGTTCCAGAAAACGCAGGTTGTGGAGGCGGGGTGGTACAATGGGCCTATCGGTACATAAAAGTCAACGAAGGCATCGACACTGAAACATCGTACCCATATGAAGCAAAGGTGAGATTACTGATGTCTCCTTGTATATTGCTGTTGTATCGAACAATGCTTTGAGAAAATAATATTTCAATGATTTATGATATACTAATTTTTAAGATATGAGTGGGTAAATATATAAATATCTTATTCCATACTTCCAATATGGGGACAGTGACCCGGGCTGGGATATGGGATGGAATGTAACGGTCAGAGTTACTTCAGTTTGGATTAACCCGTTAGCCGGATTACTTTCATCCAGTCTCAATTACACTGACTTTGGTTTCAGAGAAAGACATTTCTCGTGTCCCCCGCCGTGATATTGCTGGAATATTGCTAAAAGCGGCGCCTAACCAAACTCAGTCAGTCAGTCAGTTCAGAGAAAGATCAATAACAAAATACGTCATGAAGAGAACATTGTTTGGGCTTTTGTCAAGTAGCATGATTGTCTCATCTCTTACCTGTCATTGTTTGTTTCCCCTCTCATTCGATGAGATATACGGGTAATTTTAATAGAAAATACAGACATCATCTTGATATCGTTGTATGTGATCTCTGTGTCCCTAACATGAAGACCGCATGTCTTTATTACGCCCAGCTCAACTCTACAGAACGTAAGAGTGTGTGAGTGGGTGAGTGAGTGAGTGAGGGTGGGTGAGTGAGTGAGTTTGAGTGAGTGAAAACAAGCTCACTCATTCAATGTTTCATCTGACGTTCCAGGACGGGAGATGTCGATTCAAGAAGGCCAACATCGGCGCAACCGTTACCGGGTACACAGACATCCAGAAATATAGTGAGGCTGATCTTCAGAATGCCGTTGCCACGGTCGGCCCAGTCTCAGTCTGCATCGATGTCGGTCAGTTCAACTTCCAAATGTACAAGAGCGGCGTCTACGACGACTGGATGTGCAGCTCGACGCGTCTCAACCACGGCGTTTTGGCTGTAGGATATGGCACCAGCGAAGGCTTGGAGTATTGGCTGGTCAAGAACAGGTGATTAAATTGGGTCATTATGGGGATGTCTGTATGTACCTAGCGATAGGCTTTTGAAACAAATGTGTGGTTCCATTAAATATTGGAAAAAGTATTTGCAACCATTTTCTTTGTTATGGGAAAAAATGTTTCTCTCACCCTTCCAAGGGAATACTAGCCACAAAACCCATTCCACATCCGTAGGACTGTTACAACTCTTTGTATCACTTGCTTGATAACAGTGCTACTATCCATAGAACTTGGTTTTCATGTCTTCATTTGTTAACACCACTGTCCTCATCTGTTTACATCGTTGTCTTCATTTGTTAACACCACTGTCCTCATCTGTTTACATCATTGTCATCATTTGTTAACACCACTGTCCTCATCTGTTTACATCATTGTCTTCATTTGTTAACACCATTGTCCTCATCTGTTTACACCATTGTCTTGATTTGTTAACACCACTGTCCTCATCTGTTTACATCATTGTCTTCATTTGTTAACATCACTGTCCTCATCTGTTTACATCATTGTCTTCATTTGTTAACACCACTGTCCTCATCTGTTTACACCATTGTCTTCATTTGTTAACACCACTGTCCTCATCTGTTTACATCATTGTCTTCATTTGTTAACACCACTGTCCTCATCTGTTTACATCATTGTCTTCATTTGTTAACACCACTGTCCTCATCTGTTTACATCATTGTCTTCATTTGTTAACACCACTGTCCTCATCTGTTTACATCATTGTCTTCATTTGTTAACATCACTGTCCTCATCTGTTTACATCATTGTCTTCATTTGTTAACACCACTGTCCTCATCTGTTTACACCATTGTCTTCATTTGTTAACACCACTGTCCCTCATCTCTTTACATCATTGTCTTCATTTGTTAACACCACTGTCCTCATCTGTTTACATCATTGTCTTCATTTGTTAACACCACTGTCCTCATCTGTTTACACCATTGTCTTCATTTGTTAACACCACTGTCCCTCATCTGTTTACATCATTGTCTTCATTTGTTAACACCACTGTCCTCATCTGTTAACACTGTCCTCCATTGTCTTCATTTGTTAACACCACTGTCCTCATCTGTACATCACACCATTGTCATTGTCTTCATTTGTTAACACCACTGTCCTCATCTGTTTACATCCATTGTCTCATTGTCTTCATTTGTTAACACCACTGTCCTCATCTGTTTACACCATTGTCTTCATTTGTTAACACCACTGTCCTCATCTGTTTACACCATTGTCTTCATTTGTTAACACCACTGTCCTCATCTGTTTACATCATTGTCTTCATTTGTTAACACCACTGTCCTCATCTGTTTACACCATTGTCTTCATTTGTTAACACCACTGTCCTCATCTGTTTACACCATTGTCTTCATTTGTTAACATCACTGTCCTCATCTGTTTACATCATTGTCTTCATTTGTTAACACCACTGTCCTCATCTGTTTACACCATTGTCTTCATTTGTTAACACCACTGTCCTCATCTGTTTACATCATTGTCTTCATTTGTTAACATCACTGTCCTCATCTGTTTACATCATTGTCTTCATTTGTTAACACCACTGTCCTCATCTGTTTACATCATTGTCTTCATTTGTTAACACCACTGTCCTCATCTGTTTACATCATTGTCTTCATTTGTTAACACCACTGTCCTCATCTGTTTACATCATTGTCTTCATTTGTTAACACCACTGTCCTCATCTGTTTACATCATTGTCTTCATTTGTTAACACCACTGTCCCTCATCTGTTTTACATCATTGTCTTCATTTGTTAACACCACTGTCCCTCATCTGTTTACATTCATTGTCTTCATTTGTTAACATCACTGTCCCTCATCTGTTTACATCATTGTCTCTCATTTGTTTAACACCACTGTCCTCATCTGTTTACATCATTGTCTTCATTTGTTAACACCACTGTCCTCATCTGTTTTATCATTGTCTTCATTTGTTTTATTGTCCTCATCTTCATTGTCTTAACACACCACTGTCCTCATCTGTTTACATCATTGTCTTCTATTTGTTAACACCACTGTCCCTCATCTGTTTACATCATTGTCTTCATTTGTTAACACCACTGTCCTCATCTGTTTACATCATTGTCTTCATATTTGTTAACATCACTGTCCTCATCTGTTTACATCATTGTCTTCATTTGTTAACACACCACTGTCCTCATCTGTTTACACCATTGTCTTCATTTGTTAACATCACTGTCCTCATCTGTTTACATCATTGTCTTCATTTGTTAACACCACTGTCCCTCATCTGTTTACACCCATTGTCTCATTTGTTAACATCACTGTGTTCATCATCATTGTCTTCATTTGTTCATCATCTGTTTACATCATTGTCTCTTCTTGTTAACACCACTGTCCCTCATCTGTTTACATCATTGTCTTCATTTGTTAACATCACTGTCACCATCTCATTTGTTAACATCACCATTGTTCATTGTCTTCATTTGTTAACACCACTGTCCCTCATCTGTTTACACCACTTCGTCCCTCATCTGTTTACCTCATTCATTTTGTTTTAACACCACCGTCCCTCATCTGTTAACATCCATTGTTTACATCATTGTTAACACCACTGTCCCTCATCTGTTTACACCATTGTCTTCATTTGTTAACACCACTGTCCTC